GAACTTTCACCGGCATTCCTGAAATTTAAAGCCTGTCTCTGCTGTAAACTAAGCAAACATTACTTGAGAATTATGATAACAAACCAGATGGACAGTGTTCACGGTACCAGGATTTCACAAGCGGTACATCTATCGCTCTTCGCGTACGCCCTGAACGCATATTAAATGGTCGTGGAGCCCACATTAGAGCTATTCCATTGCCGGTGTTTTCTGTATAAAGCGGCGCTTCACTGAAGATTGCTTCAACTTCTTCTGGGAGTATGAAATCTTCGTCATCGATTGGAGATGGTTCCTTACTCTAGAACTTTCATATCATCATCAAGGTTTGAAAGATACAAACCGCAAAAAAAAAAAAAAAAACTGCCTTGTAGATGTGCCCACTACAATCTCGCGATCTTTATTGACACTTATTGCAGTCCGCTCGCCTCATATGAATGGCTACTCTAATTTTGGTTTCTGTTATCGATCTGATAAATATAATGATCAAATCATTGTCCAACAGGAACCGAATTTTAAAAAAAAAGTACCTTGGAAGTAAGAGAATTTTGTAAGGTTCTTTTCCAATGTTTTCAACAAACTGAAGCGACCCAGTGAAGGAACCGAATTTTTTTAACTAGGTCTAAGCAAATTCTCATGTCTTGGACACGAGAATCTGCCAACTCCAAACCTACATAATTTCAGAACAAAAAATCATACCAAAGTACGTAGTACAATCAAAAGGGTCATTTTATCATGCCCTTCAGAACCTTTGTTGTACTGAAAAAGAAATAATTTTGATGTTGTCGAAGAACCCTTAGGTTATTTCTTTCGTTTCCAAAAACCATTAAATTTGGAATTTAAATTACAACCTTTTCCGCTGAACGCTGCGCTATTGGATTAATCAGAGGGTCATAGTAAAATGCTGGCAGATCTGGATCCTCCGTTTTGATGAAAACGACGGAAGGTGTGTGGTACCTGAAGAAACGCTATGACCAACACCAACAGATATAGGTTGTAATTTTTTCTTTACGTTTTTACCAGAGAGATACCATACCTTCCGAATTTTATGAGCAAACAAAGAACCCATCTGGTTAACCATTTACTACCGAGTTTTATAACCTTAATTTCTTTAAAAAATAAAACACACCAAGATACTTGCACTGGCAAACTGTTTATAAGATTATTATACATAAACGGAAAAGCGATTCGGTATTCCGTACGGATGGGAGCTCGAATGATCACTTTGTTTATATCGTTGAACTCATTCCAATCTTCATCGCTATAAAATGAAGTGAACATTATTATTTGGATTTTAAAATTATCTACCGTAAATTCGTTCACTATCTTCAGATTTCTTTATCCTTAAAAATCAAATAGAAATAAAAGAAGTTAAAGGCAGTAAAGATCACTTACAGTGCATTGAGATCCTTAACCAATGGTTCAAATTTCGGGCCACCAGGGATTGCGACATTTAAAGCTTTGGCCGTGAAAAATGATTTTAAATCAAACAAGTAAAAATAGTTATCATCCACAAGGTCTGTCAATAACTGATTGGCGAGACGATATAGGGTAGCCATCATAGGTATACTGAACGCCCAACGTCGATACGTCGTTCCGTTAACAAATCTAAAAGAAAACAAGTTCATCAGCAAATCTGAGAAAAAAAGAACTCTGTAATATGCGAAAAAAAAGATTTATTGCTTTTAAATTCACATATCTTATGCTGATGTGAAAGGCAGAAATACATTTCAACTATTTACTAAGGGATATTCTGGAGTTCAAACCTAGTTGTAGATAACGGTTTATGGTCATAGAACCACTCTGCAACAGTTCTATCTTCATCCTGATCAAGTTCCATTTGAATTGGCTCTAAAGGTTCTACATCCAGAATGTTATCTGCGTAGTCCAACGGTGGTTCTTCATCATCAAACGGTGGGAAACGCATGCGCTGAAATTAAAAAAAATATAAACTGCATACCCAATTTATTTGACGAATCTCTTAAATGAGTTTTTCTCCATCTTCACCAGTTTTAACTTTTTTAACCATCGTATTTGAACAAAAATTGACCGGTTCCTTTTAACTTGAACTTTTTTTTTAACTAAATTTTTCCAAAGAAAAAAAACAGCCATAAAATGAAAAGCATGAGTTACCTTGAAATGTCTCCGATCCCTTTTTTCTCGTCTCATCATTATCCACATTGTACCCCACTGCGCCATGTACACAGGTTCAATCACACGAGGAATTTCATTCACGAATGTTATTGCACCTGTTATGTGATAAAGCACCTAAAAAACTACTTCATGAATTGTATTTATAGACTAGCAACAAACGATGAAATATTTCTACAGCAGTCAAACTGTTTCGTTTTATTGGAAAACGGTTATTTTGTAAGCTATCTATCGATTAATTCCAATAACTGTATAATTCTCTCCTTTCTACCCTTTTAAAACGCAATATTCTAAAAATTTTGAAGTAAATTCTATTGACAAATTATTGATAAACAACCAAAAGTTCCACTTTTGTTAGACCTGAATTTTTTTTCACTTTTGTTAAACCTGAATTTAAGCCATCAAATCTGATGTCAGAACTCTAATTTCGCAAAACTTCGAATTTGAAATATATCCCCAGATTTAGTTCGGTTATTCGGTAAAATGAAAAATTCAAATGTCTCAAAAAATTACTTTGACATCACGAATTTGCTCCCATGGCATTGGCATGTTTTCAAGAAGTTTCAAGACTGCATGGGGCATATATTTCAAAGCTCCCAGATAAACCCGTTTATCATGTCGGTATTTTCGTGATGTCATGTCACCGTGATCACGGATAATTTTCCGGACGTGCTCTAAAATTACTGCTCTCAAAATCTAGCATATAATAGGCATAAACTTCCTAAAGTAAAAGATGTAGCATGAAATGTTGCTGTATTCTGCATAAAATCTGCGAATAAATGTCAGTGTTTCGAAAAAAAGAAAAAAGAACAGATGTTAATCAACCAAGATATCTTTTAGATAAAGCTTCCAATTTCTCCTTGATTTTTTTCCATAGTCCAGATAAAATCTCACATATCGTCAGTGCAAAGTTTATAGTCAAACCTGGTGGCATGTCCTCCTTTTGTGAATCGACAAAACCAAACTTCCGTTTTTCCGCATAACGCTTCGATTGCAACTGTTTCCATTTCCGTGCCTTCTCTTCTAGAATATTTTCAGGAAGCATTTGTGGTGGACCAGCATGGTGACCTCCAGACTGTGGTTGTGTGGGTGGTTGGAAAAAGGTTCCGGATTGTGAAGTGACATTACCAAATGGCGCTGATACTGGCAATGACATCCCTGTAAATACCAAAGAATGAGGTCTTTAGAAGTCAAATCTTTCACGAGACCTGAAACGTTTCGCAAATAAAAACCTAGTCGTTACTCAGTCCACTATGTGTACGAACTACGATATTTAATTCTTGATGGCATCGAACTATTTTCTATCTTGATTTAGCACGATTCCCGAATGGGATGGAGTCATCATTACCAGGAATCATCGTCGCTCCAGTCAGTACAAGAAATTGCCTTATGCAGGCATAGTCTTTTTATGTCAAGCAAGACCGTATATTTTCAGCACATATGCAGTACATATTGCAAAGCAAACTTGATGAAACGGCAACTAACGCGCAAATATCCTAATCGAACCTACCATCCATATATTTTACTTACCTACCTCCCACACCCCGACACCCATCGCTCCCTGCACCATACTTTTGAGTGTATGCCAACAATAAATTACGGTAACCCAATATATCTCTTCAAGAATCATACTTTCTACGACAACATAGAATCCATATGCTAATTATTCCTATACGGAGAAAATCATTTGGAAATTGGGTTTTATAAGTTCTTCCAAGTTAATTGGACGCAAGTCGGCGAGAACTTTATAATTTTAAGAGACCAGAAGATATTTTAAACCTGAAATGAGAAGGGGAATATCATTTGTATAATAGTATGAGTCATTTTTTAGTACGAGTCTCTTACTATGGGTTTGTTTCATGGTTCCTTTCTAAGCGTTTAAGGGCTGGAGATAATCCTCGTGTGATAATTCTGTTGTCCAGAATACCAACCGGCCACGAACCATTTCTCCTTCATAAGTTGCTTGATGTCTCAATGTTCCTACTTTTTTGTTAAACTGAATATTTAAAAAGCTTCAAGTTGAGAAAAACTTTTTTATTAGACTAGAATTTCTTGAATTACTTCATTTCCCAAATCGATCTTGACACCATTTTCTGGTTTAGTTTTTTATTTGATAATTGATGTCCTGATTCTTTGCTCTTTACATTATGTTGTATTATATCCAGTAAATTTTGACATATATGCGAATTACCGTAGCAAATCATGGAGCAAAATGTAATCCTTACAACGACAGATCGGATCAGCATTTATAACAGTAGTAACGTTGGACATTAGCAAACAATGTGAAATAATGTAGAGCACTTCGAGAGTGATTATTATATTAGCATTTTTGCTGAATTTAGAGCTTTTAAAATTTAGACTGACTAGATATTTGTTTGCAGATTAAAATAAACATTGTGGTCAGTTTTATATCTAAAGTCGATAAACTCAAAGAAAACAAGATTTTAAAAAGTATAATTTTGGCGAAACATTTACCATCTACGACATATTTTGGCGATAATCTTTTACACTCTCAGAAGTGGCGACACTTTTAATAGAAGGTAAGATGAAGTTCGTTTCATTAATATGACTAGAGGTCAGAAGAAACTATTGTGACCTGCGTGCAAGCGTTTTTCATCTCGACAACTTAGTTTTTTTCTTTTTTTTTTGAAAAAGACGCAATATTTATGGTCTGTTTTAAACCACTCCGAACTACTAATAAACGATCCAGACCTAGCGACAACTAATCAAGCAAAATTAGAGTGTCAACTCGGAAGAAAGAGGAAAATCTATATCTAACATCTGAACATCCACTGATTAGAAATTTGTAAATGATTGCAGCTTGGCCAAAATATAATTTTTCAATCGTGTTGTCAGTGATTTTCACATTTCAGGAGCTGAACTAGTAAGCTGTCCAACTGCCATAGATCAAAAAAAGCTACTTCATGGTGACTTTCAACAAACTGAAGACCAACAGCCTGAAAGCTGACATACGAAGTTAATTGATGGTAATCGATGGCTGTTATTGAATTATACAACTTATTTCTATATCTTAAAAAGATGATAAACATAAATTATTTTAAACGGGGTAGATTTATGAATAAACTGTCCAGAAAACAAGTGAAATATATGTCAAAAATTTCTTGATGATAGGTGCAGAATTATATTAAGTACCGAAGATTTTTAAGTTGTGGTGTATCGTACGAAAGATATAAACACTGAATCTGGTGCAGTGATGTCACTAGTAAATTAAACGTAGATCCTAAATCAAAACTTCAAGTAAACCAAAATCAGCAATGCAAATAACTTACGAAGACAGAAGAGAGTAACAGGATGATATTACCAAAACGTTCCGAAAGATCATTTTGATGGTTTTGTTCATAATATTGATGCAGTGACGTGCAAAGTTCATCCAGCATTGCTCTCATTGCATATTTATTTCCGTCACTTATTTCACACATTGCTGTAACAAGTGCTATCAAAGAGAAACACTCGGACGGAAACTCAAAATTCTTGCAGTCGGAAGTGTAATGTTTATGGAAGAACATTAATTTTAAAAAATCTTCGTGATTTCGGGAGTTATTAATTAGTAACTGAAGCCGGTTCCGATGAATAAGTTGTAATCTTCTTCTTGAATTATACTGAAATATCGCTCATTAGTTTGTATTTGTTTTTAACTCGCCGTGATTTATGCTTACTTCCTTTCCATGAAACAAACGCTTTCAGTGCAACAAATTCCTCTAGTGACATTTTCATTGCGACCATCGGTTCCACTATTTCTGACATTAACTGCTTCAATAACGGCCGATATATTCGGAAAAAAAAAGAACAGCATAATAAAGTAAGTTGTATGGTTTATTTGTTGCATGAAAGGATAAAGTCATGATAATTATGAGAGGAAAAGGAGGAAATTGAAATTTCAGAAGTCCGATGGATTTTCCTCGCCCCGTCGTAACAAAAATATTCGCCATCATAAGAATTATTTTGCAGTCGATATCGAAAAGTGGAATCCGTCCATTACATTCAGTAGATTTTCGAGCTTTATTCTAGAATCTTAATGTCTTGATATTTTGAAATGCTCTAATGAGTCACAATACAGAACAACGAATTAAACAAAATAAAGGGGTTAAGAGAACTTGAAAATTTCTTCTAAAATTTAAATCTCTCGAAATTGGATTATATATATGTATATATATCATCTCCAAATGAGATTAAAAATACTTTTGTTTTGTCGTGCTTGAAATCTCTTTCTCATCTTCCCATCCTTCCTTGCAGTTTTCATGGACTGCTAGGAATCCACCATTCTGCATCACGAATCGACTCGGATAACCAATTTGCAACGTTATATAAGAAGGATCCAGAATCGTATGATACAATACACATTTTCTCAAAAATGTTATCTGCAAAAACCGATGAGTCGGAAAAAGATGCCACTGTTTTATGTATCTACCGTTAATCAGTTTCAACTATGTTGTTGCTTAAAATAATCTATTTTGGATGCTTATTTTCCAAATGCTTTTTCTCTCTAGTATGTGATATATCTTCACCAGCATTCACTAATTCATATATAACCTGATCAAACTTAGTGAAAGAATCATAATCTGGCCAACTTCGTAACCATTCATAGACCAACAAAATGTGTGTCCGTATTGACTTGCGAAATTCTCGGAATCGTAACGGGAATATTTCTTCAGTGGTATATGGCTGAAAGGAATAGTTAACTTTGAAGAGCTCTTGGAGCATCAATTACGGGAAAGAGAATCAGTTGTCAGCGTAGTATGTACATCATGATTTGTTTGTTTAGATCTATATTTTTGCTTTGAATAAAGTTTTTTTTGAAGTTATAGAAAGCAATTCAAAGTCGAAACGCGTTTTAGATAGTTTTTAGAGAAGTATTATGAAAGTAAGTTTATTAAAGTCGTAAAAGTGTATTCTTTCGAATGGATGTCATTAACATATGAGTATTCACGCCCATTCAAAGTATCTGTGGAAATTCTTACGCATGATTGAGATCTTCCCAATATACTGCCTACTGGTCTTTCACAAAACAGTATCCGACGACGTTCGCCAATTTTCAGTTCTTCTGCCACCAATCGACGTAAAACCTGCGAAAGTTCAAGAAGGTACTTTAAAATCATCTGCACATCTATTGACATCAAAGAAGAGAGTGTGGCAAGATGAAGCAGTTAACTGAAAATTTGTATAGATAGAAAACAAAATCGCAATCATGCTCAAATCAAAAAAATGCTCCATTAAGCTATCCAGTGTAGCTGACTTATCAGTGATGGTATAATAATAAGCTCCACATGATTGTGCCTGAATGTGATTTCTTAAGGAACATCAAAATTTCAATAATTAATCCATTTTGATAGTCAAGCGATTTTAGGGCGTTTGCACACATCCAATCAGTAGGTAGCAATATCATCTTAGCTTTGAGACATCTAGAAATATACTCCGCATTTATTTATTGGCTTCAATTCCTTACATCCTTTACATGAAATATGCAAAAGATTTGAAATACAGTCATAATCTTAAGGACACTAACTGGCTTTTTTTTTACGTCCAAGAGGGTGCATATAAAAAACTTACATTGTTATTAGTGTGAAGCAACACCTGACTGCTACTCATCGCATGGTTATATTCGGCAGCACCGCTGCATTTTATCGACAACATGCCATCATTTCCATCATCGCACAAATTTCCTATAAAAAATAACTCCTTTCATAAAAGATAAATCGGAGACATGATAAAAACACACAATCATTTCCTCTTTATATCATATTTTCAACGTGCAATTACTAAGTTTGATATCTCTACTTTTCATGTTCTCCAAACTATAATCTAATATACAGTATGGTTCTGGTTTACATGATAAAATTGAAAAAACTTTTCCATTTGAAAATGGATAGCGAGAAGCAAGTCACAAAAAAACACAAAAACACAAAATACGATGAGGAAGAAAAAAGTAATGACATTCTAACAAACGAATTTGATTTGATAAAATTATACAACACTAATTTTTTGAGTACTGACGCAATGTGAAAAATGTATCTTCTCACCAGACTATATCAACTTCTTTCCATAATTTTTTATACACTCATCTTTCTTCCTGCAACTTTCTCTAAAAGTATTGTGAAAAATATTTTTCAATTTAAAAACTGGTACCAGAGGTGTTTCGAGAATCCATATGATTACATAGAGAATCCGTGGTCGGTAAAGGTGAAGAAGAAACTAGGCATATTGGCGAACTTGAAAACTGAAGAATATCATATTAGAATACATTAGAATGGTGATAATGCTGGAAACAGCAATGTCCGAATCGAGCGAAATGATAAAAACAATAGTAATTTAGGATTAGGACCCACGCAGAGAATTTATTTTAGAGGCATTAGCAAGGACGGAAATTTTCCCTACTTTCTAAGCTTGTGGTGAGCAGAAATCTGAAAATATTCTCTATCCTTTACAAAGCTGCTCACTTCGATTCATTATTTATGGTAGCGAAACACGAATGGCGCAATCATCTCCTCTTTCATGATGAGAGTACGACTTTTTTTTTTCACTTCACTTTCCGATTTAAGATATAAATTTGAAGAAAAAAAGACCGACCTCAGTCTGAACATCTTGTTCCAACTGTCCACCAAATCGTTTGTTTCTTTTGAGGCCCGATTTTGTGGCGAACAAGCGATGATATTCTATTTCCGATTTTTTCGGCTGAACAGCTAAATATTTCAGGGTTTCAAATTTGAAAAACTAAAGTACAGTTAACGAGGAAACTTTTAAAAGATTACAAGAGTGCGCATTATCTGATATGACCCAATTTTCTTCTGAAAAAGTAAGTAAATGATAGGGACATATTTGTTCTGGTATCAATCATTATGCAAACAAGTTTTTCCAACCGATAAGAAATATAGAAACAGATATAAAAAATGGATAAATGGTGATATTTGTCAAGAGCTCTCATGATGAAGTAAAGTAGTCGAAATGTTACAGAAATTACGAACTCTAACTCCTCACATACCGCAGTTCCTAAAAAGAAATAAATATATATCCGAAAAAAACTTACAATTTTTTTCATACCCACTAAATAACATTTTCGTAGACGGCACGCTTGACACACTTGACGTGTGGCTGTAAGTAAATTACGTCGATTATTACTCGTAAGAGATCAATAGTTCTCAGTTTAGGCATCGTTTTTGAATTTTTGAGAACATGCTGGAAGAAATGAACTATGCCTCCCCTGAATAGTTATTTTCAGAAATGGATTTTGAGAAAGTACTCGAAAAGAACTCTCAGTAGTGTTTCGCTCAAAGAAGCATATCTTACACTAAAACAGATTGAAAATAAATAAACGAAACGGACAGTAATGGACGGCACAATTATTCATGCCAGTTTTGCAAATGAACACTTTTCGATGCACGATGGCACGACGGAAGAATGCAGCGCACGCAGCGCATGACTGCGCTTCAAAATGATAACCAGTAGCTCTTGCTAGGCAAATGAGGCAACTGTACCGACTAGCATTGCCAGTGACCGGGAATCCTGAAATGACAACCAAATCTAAATTTTAATGCAGACTAGATTTTGTAGCAATCTGGGGTCCAGTGTGATTTGGATTCATTCATTTCTAGACCAAAGAAAACGATGCTTATAAGTATGCAATAATTTTATCGTTCTTTTATTTTCAAGTACGAAATATCCAAGTAAGCAGAGATGATACGGCCTGCTATGTAATAGTTCATTGACAAAAAGATGAAAAGATCCAATAAGCAATTACGAAGAGCGGTTAATTTGAACAAAATTATTTTAATTGCTTCAAATGATTGAGATAAAGTGCCCTTCCCTCAACCTTCTCTGGAGGAATGGAATTCGAAACTTGTTCTAATATTGAAAACCATAAGAGAAATAATGACAACTGCAGTCGACCAAGAATTAAGCTTTGAACGTATTTTACATAATAGATGTAGATAAATAGAAAGCAGAAAGTAGTAATAGAAAATAGCTATAGAATTTTTTTCGACTATTTTATATATGAGGGCGTAGTCCAGTTTACAATATCCTTTGACTTCTTTACTTGACATGATAATATTTTATGATTCTAAACTTCTTTACAGAAAAAATTAAACGACGTAGCACTTGGTTTCTCTCTTTTCACTTTTGACCATAAGTAACAGTTTCAAAAAAATAAAATAGAATAAATAAAGTAACCTATGCTCTGAATAGTAGTGTTCATGAGGATGATTTCAAATATTAATAGAAGAAACAAAGACAGATGCTGTCAGTCCAAGGAAGCGATAAATGATAAAAGATATAAATGCGACGAAAACGAATGATTATTGCCAAACGGCAAAGACAGCTGTCTTGTACTAGAAATGATGACGATGAAGCAAAAGTAGCAATACACTAAGAACAAGAAAAACAACAAAGAGTAATTTTTTCCATCAAACCCTCGTAAAATTAACTAGAAACGAATTTTCGAAAATAATTTAAAATGATAGTTGAGTCTGTAAGAATCAGCAATTTATTTACAGATCAGAGCTTTAATTCTGATCCATAAGAAAATTTTGCAATGGATTGTTTTAGCTGTGACTAATTTCGAAAATATAGAAATGAAAATATGGGGAAACAATGAAAATAGATACACAATAAGCAAAGTAAAAAACAACTGTTAATTATCTGTTTTTTGGTTTTTCTTCTTCAAGCACTCTCTCTTTGAATTTAGCCATCTGATAGTGCGATATTTTCCGGATCACCAGGAAACCAGCAATAATCTGAAGCTCAGAAGATATTTTAGTTATCTTCGGATTGTTTGGGATCTTACTTGTAGTGAAAATTCTACAGATCGATATAAACTTCTAAAACACCTTAGTACGTTGCTCTCTCCTTCCTACCACACTCTCAATATCTTTTTCAGTACCGTTCAAATAGAATAATTTGGTTCCTTATGAAAGGGTAAAGTCGATTAAAGCTATACCTCTATCAACAAAAAGAGACCATGATAAAAACTCAAAATTTGCTCTAACGGTGTTGGAATATTAATATTCAAGAACGAAAATGCTGCAATCGGCACTTGCAAAACTATACTTGTTACCCAGAAACCGGATAGAGCAGATATCTGAAAAAATGGTTACAGCGCAGAATTCTTAGTGCTTCAATTCACTTCTTGCCAATTGATCGCATAGTTTGAAATTCGTGACTCCACATTTCGTATTTCAAAGTTTTATATCCTATGTTCTGTTCTATACTTTTTTGGATTGAAGGCAGTCCAAAAAAAAACCAAACGTGCAAATTATGCAGGTACCAACAAAATTTAAAACAATTCGCATGTTTTACTCACCTTTTCGCCCAAATTGCCGTAGTACCCAAGAAATAACCGAACAAACTCAACTATAACTGTTATGAAGAGTAAGGTCAACAGTACAACCAAATGAGTGACAGACAAATAATGCATCTGCAATGCTTCTAATACATTTCACTTGGTTACGAGGAGCCCAGACTCCACTTATCCACAATCATTCTATGCTCTTTATTCAATTTCTGCTAACAAATATGCATACTATTAGAATAATACTAATAGAATAACAGTAATAATATTAATATTAAAAAGTAATTCAGAGACGACTTCATCAATTTGTATTTCAAATTCCTTTTCACTTTTGTAGTACAAACAAAGAGGGTTGTCGGCTTTTTATCAATAGGGTTTGAATTTTGGGGTTTTCACTTTAAGCTTTACTAATGAATTAATTACTTCTTATTAATGGATGAATATTGCGCTTTCACTGCAGAGATGCCAAACATAAGTTGGATGCTTAAAAACTTCCCTTCTTCTCTTACACCTTCATTATATAATTAAGACAATAGTTCAACAGTAAGATTCAATAACCTAAGGAGGACTTAGTGAATTATTGTTGAAAGAGTTTTCCTTCGGCTCATAAGTTCTGCGTCATTATTTTACATTCTTTGTTTGGAGATAAGCAATCCTTCGGTAAATTTCGCAAAAAAAAAAGCAAAAGAACAAAGTAATCGGATGTGATAAATTAAAATAAAGGATCTGAAACGTTGCGATCAAAAACGACAAAATTGACGGAATTAAAATTACCTTACTGATAAGACCAACAATTAATCCAATGGTCCAAAATGGCGCCAAGCAAACGTTATAATGCAAAGCAATTTGTAACGGTAAACTTGACAAAACTTCTGTAAGATAAACCTTTTTTTTAAATTAATGATTACGAAAAAAACGAAGTAGTTGATCGAAATAGGAAGTAGTTAAAAAAACGAAGTAGTTAAAAAAGAGGTAGTTAAAAAAACGAAGTAGTTAATCATCTTATCAGTGGTTGAGACAAAATCGCATAACTCGCTTTATGATATATTGAAATATTTGCTACGATATATTTCTTTGATATGTTTTCTGTGAAAAATATAAAATGCAAAATACTCTATAGATGTTTCGTTAAAGATATCAAAATATGTATCATTTAACCTTTACCAACTTCCGTTCTTTCAGTAAATCTTTCCGTTGCCCTCATCCGCGCTTTATTTATTGTAAAATCTGAAAATTTGCCACAAAACTGCAAAAAGAAGTCTGTCTTGGATTCACTAAACCATTTTCTGCAACAAATAAAACATATGCAAATTGACTTTCAACTTCTAATGATTAAGAAATTTACCAACGGTAATTCGGTCTGATTCAAATAAAAAGCAAGATATCTAACAATTGGTTTTATTGCTTTTAAATCAAAAGATTAGAAATACCTGAAACTAAGAAACTCAAGGAGCACTTGTCTGAGGTTGCTATGGTGACATTAACGACCGATCATGGAGCCGAATCTCTGCTCCATGCCAATTCCTGTGAGCTACCTCACTTTGCTCACTCAAGCAGTCAATGTCATTTCATCGAGAACAACCATTCCATGTAAGATGTGAAGCATTGTAAATTTTATATAACTTGCATTGTAAAAAATCGAACTTGAGAATTACATTGATACCAAAAGTAATACACGCAGCCGGAGATCTGCTATATTATTACTAGAACCTTCAGAAACTGCAGTCCAATATGCAATTTTGGAGAGAATAGCGTCCAAATAGCATAATAGATACCGACTCAATCCTCTTTTCAAGGAGATCCATAAGTACAGCAACTATTTCCACTTGTCAACACTATAACCCCGGAAGCACTAGACTGAATTTCCCATCTACCTTAAATGCAACGAGTGGGACTTGCGCTTCGTTGTGAGCGCTTTGCAACTATGTTCTTGTTGTCATTGTCATCATCAGCATTATTAGTGTTGTTAATAACTCCTTTAGCATGAATAGACAGGAACAAAAACCGGAAAATCCCTACTAACATGGATGCATGGGACGAGTCCAACAAACGACTGATTTTTGGCTACTTGTCTCCTGCCTTTCTCGTGATATAATGTCGACCTACATTAGGTCTAGGGCGGACTCAGTATTTAATTGAAATGTGATGTCACTGAGGACTTTAGCATCGGAATATACGAGGTGGAAATATCAAAAACACCTTTAACACTATAAGGCAGCAGTCAGTACGAAGAAACAATAACGGAGAGTAATTAAAGAATTGCAAGTTAGAGAAATAGCAGAGATTAACTTGTGATGCTGTGTAAGTAGGTTGAGGTGCTTGAAAGTTATAGATATAAGCGGTCATTCCTGTCGTTTTCAGTTTATAGCTAATGAATACAATGGAAGATCTCGGGAGTTATAAGCTTCAGCTTCAGCAGGTTTGTTTATTGCCTTCCTTTTGTTCTTTTTCATCCTGAATTCATGTGAGATTATCTGAATGGATAATGACCTGCATTTGTTTGGGATATATTTGTAAAATTACCACGTGTTATTGTTTAGTGATAGTTTCATTATCATTGGTTCACTTATATCTAATGTTCATTATTTCGAATTTCATTTTTAACTGGCCATACACTGATTGCAAGTCTTTTCAGGTCGAAGCAGCATTGCTAACTGAACCAGATAATGATGAATTATTAAAGCTGAAAGTCGATTTGCAAGAAATTATTGCTCTTCAAGAAGAATTAACATCAGCAACAGCCGAACAACCAAGCAGTATGGCTTCCGATGATGCTATTAAAAACCCTTGGAAGGTATGGTATTCTATTCTATATTTACTTTTCAGAAATTTTTATTTTAAAAAGGCTTCACCTCCTTTTAATATAATCTGGTTGGACAGAGCAAAGGACCTCCCGACTGCATTCGATGGAGTACTGTTATTATGACATTAAATAAAATAATTCACATAACTTAAACTTCTGTGCCATGGTTAGATATACTTTTTATTTCTTCTTATAGGTAGGAGATCAGTGCATGGCGCCATCCTCGAATGGACAAAAATATCTGGCAGTGATTGATGGATTTGCGCAAGATAATGTTGCTGTTACACTGGTCGGTAAGCATTCCATTTTTGGTTTTTTTTGGTGACAAGCCCAAAAATCTTTCAAAATCTTCCATTTTAACCCAGTGATATATGGAAATATTAGATAATTGAGGCTTACTTGTTGGAAAAAGATAACACATATAATCAAAACAAGCCGTGTAAAGCTTTTTATAAAGCTTTTTTTTGTAAAGCTTTTTTCGTGTAAAGCTTTTTTTTAAAGCTTTTTGTTGATTCATTATTTTTACATTTGATTGATTCCCTCTAGTATTTTCAAAGCTTTTCTCCGAATTCTATCTAAGGATAGGTGTTAGTTTTTTTCTCAGCCATACTTTCAGCAGAATAAGCAGATCTTTCCAGTGTTTGCTTTAGAAATGATGAAATATATGTGGATAGCATATTAAATAAGCGCTTTATTTTGGTCGTTTTATGCTTTAAATATGATCCATTTGTTGTCCGGTTTTTTATTTGTCATCGCTTCTCGCTTCATTCTCTGCTTCAGTGTTGAGTGCTTATCCAACCATCATTTCTGGTATTTTTTAGAAAAATTCTGCATTTAGGTAAAGGAACAAAGTCTATGGTTAACGTGAACAATTTAAGTGCAGTTTCGAAAGATGACGGCAAAATGTATGTTTGGGAAAAATCAGCCAAAAATATGCGTCACCGCAAAAGCGAATGGCAGGTGAAGCACATTTTTAATTTTAATTAGAATTTTTCATTAAAGACGGTTTTATTCATTTCGTAAGTTATTTGATTTAACAACAAAAAATCTTTCTACCAATGTTCTATTATATTGTTTATGAATAAATGTACTTGATGAATTTCGATAGCGATTTATTATTTTCTGAATTTTTCTGAGAGTCATTTGTTTAATACTGAAGATGTGGTAAATTTAAGGATAGCAGTAACTTAGTGATATATGAGATAGACGTGTTTTGAAGTGTGGAAGAAAGAAGTAATATTTAAACAGATGATAGTTGAATGTAGGTGGCGGTGAGATTAGTGCTCAGGTTGCTTTAAATCAAGGTCAGTATAATGTAGAAGGCGCTTCAGCGAGATATACTTCACGTATGTAGCGTAATATAACGCAACTTCTCACTACACAAGTACCATAAAGATTGATTCATTAAATGAAAGAATATAAATATATTTAGGAATATAAATAGTGCATCTTTGCGGTTTATTCTGTTTGTTCGGTTTATTCGGTTTATTCTACCTTTTTTCGGCTGTCATCAGTTTATTCTGAAGTATTCATTTACAGATGGAGCGCGAAAGACGACGACTGCGAGCACTTAAAAAAGAGCACCGGAAAAAGGAACTAGAAGAAGCAAAGGAGGACGAGAAGAGGAAATGGCTTTCTTTCAATGCAAAAGCAGCAAGTCGAAGCATGAAAGTAACTTTTGGAATTGCTCTTTCTGGATTTTTGCAATAACACTGGCTCGTCATGGTGCCTCTGTCAATCCGAATTTTCACACTGCAGTATGAAAATAATGGAAAACGAAATAAAACAAGAGTGTTTCGAACTTTAATCAGAATGTGACCAAAATTTTGTACTTAGTGTAAACGCACATTCTTTGTTTTAGCTGTTTTGGGAATTATACTGGGCAGATGGAATGCGGGAAACTTTGGCTAGTTTTATTTGGATCTACACTATTCTCTTAGTCATAGCTACATTTTTCTTAGGAGTTATATGGGCATTTTAAGATATTAAGGATGCATTAAATTTAGGGATTTAAACGGCCTACAGCATCTGGATCAGCTCCTGATGGACCGGCATGGGGTATTACTTCACAGACGAGGATATCATCACGACAAGATCTCGGTGCTTTCAAATCTACGCAGCGTGGAAATATGGATTCATTGTTTTAATTTTCATTACATGTAAGGTGCATTCTTGTACATGTTTTCTGTTTTTCATATGCTCCAAAAGGTGGGTGGGATAAATATTAGAGCGGATTTGTTTAATTTCGAGATATTGTTGTGTTGTCTAGACTTTTTTTTTGCAAAATGGTTTCTAGTACAAATGGAATTAGTTTAATTAAGGCTCGATATAGTAGAGCTGGTACCATGCTATTGTTTGCTGATAGGGGATAAAATTCATTGTTTCAAACGCTTAAAACTAATTATCCTCTGAAGAGAAGTAATGTATTCATTGGTTCATTATGCAGTCTGGAGGTAGAATTCGCTTCAGCTTAATTGATCCTTCCAACTATTTAGATGTTTACGATTTTTTTGACTATCTTTTTTCATACAAACTAAATCACTGTCCAAATCACTATACTGTAGATTCAGCGACCCACATAAATATCCCACATCTTGAAAATCCAAACTAGTATGTTGGTTGTTGATGATGAAAGAGAAGTTGTCTATATAACTACCAGCTTAGCGAACAAGTACTATAAGCAGGGCGTTTTCTTTTCGGACGATTCTAGGTACAAGTATTTATAGTGTTGCTGTATGACTATTGCGCAATCTTTGGAAAATATCGTAATCCATAAGTAGGTAGTAAAGTAATTTAGTGTTGCCTTAACAGCCTTTAGATTTGTCAACGTCTTTTCGATACAGTCGAAATTAAACCTTCCGGAAATATTTCACATTTGTGTAGTGAAAATAGAAATGTTTCATTTAGAAAATGATAAGTAACCGAAAAGCAGAAGGCATGAAATTTAACCTATACTTCAAATGATTGTTTACTTTTTCTTACAAAGAATTATTTTTTTTCCTATTATTTTTTTTCCTATTATTTTTCAATAATAATTGTTGTTTGTGGTGTTCTCTTTTTGGATTCTTTGTGTACGCTTCACTGCTACCTTTCACGATCAATTCATTTATCATGTCAGGAAGTATTGGCTGGTTAAAAGTGGCATGCTTTCTATTTGGAAATCGCAGATAAACTCATAAATAGTGTCACCGATTCAATATGTAATGAATTTAAAATTTCCAAAAAATGTACTGTGCAGTTTGAATCTAGAATTCAAGTTTTCTTTTTCCTCTCTCCATATAATCTCATCATCCTTAGATGAATATTTGATATCTCAGTGTTTGTTGTGATTTCAAAGAATTAAGCTACTAGACCTTTGTTTTTTAATCCTAATTAGATCCTGAGACTATACTTTTCTTTTAGAGTTGTTTTAATTGGAGTAACATGTCCTTTATTTTGAACTCGAACGTGCACTCACTTGCCGTTGAACTGTCGCGTATATGTTTCAGAAGATTCTCGTTATCCTGTGTATTGCTGAAAAGGAAATTCCAAGGCACTAAAGAGAGGGAGCGAGGAGGAATCGGAAGTACACTTGCTACATTTGTACTACATTTGGATATTCCTGCAAATATTTTCTGAACCAATATGTTTAAACTCCCAAGCTATGAATATTGTTTTCGGAAACACTTTGTTGTTCGGACGGAGGAGGATGCGAGGAAGCAAGAGCGAATGTCACGAGAGGTCATGAAAATTGAATATTTGTATTGTGGAACTTTTTGAAATATTGTGGGTAGGATAGTCGAATATTGGTTGGCGACGGTTTGATAGATGGAGAAGTATTATACTTTACAAGGGAGTTTCCAGGGAATATTAAATACAACTGGATTGTAGAAACTCCTGAATTGTAGCATGACCTCTTGTGAAATCATGTAGAATGACTACATGTGGAGTCATTTATGTGGATTCCCTTTAATAAATTCTGCATATCCCTTATATAGTGGGAGTTTGTTTATAACAATCCAAGAAGTTAAAATTGATAAACCCTAAGATGACCTTAAGTTCTTTGCAATGTACCGACATTGACCTGAGATCCTTCACAATGTGCTAACATTGAGTATGAATGTGGTAATAAAAACATGAATCGATTTACAACATCTTACAACACGATTTGAATTAAACGTCTATAATTTGAATTAAACGTCTATACAATATCGACATTATTTTTACGTTGAAAATGTTTCGGTTTTCCCTGACAATGTGAGTTGCTTCTCTGCACTCATATTAGCGTATCATATTAATCACGTATGGGTAACATTCAAAATTAGAAATTAAAATTCATTAAATCAGCATAAGCTTGTAATATGCAGGGAAATATGATGCTATTGTAGAGTTTTCTCATGACACCGCAAGCTAGGTTTTTAATTTGGAAGTTTTGGAAGAGAATTTGGGATTTTGGAACTTTTTGCATATACTTTTTCAACTTCTCTTCTGATTCCGTGGATTTTGTAATCTGCTAAGCAATCTTTTTCTTTTTTTTTGAAGTAAATGATGGAAGATTTCATTAAATTTAATAAGACTGGTCTATTGCAACTCAAGAATGCAACAGTTTTTTTTGCCAAACTTTGTCAACAAGGATAATATCTACAGAATTAAAAAAAGTTGTGGAAATCTAATTGCGACATCGATAATGGAAATTTATCTGAATGTATTATTTGACCATTGTTACAATGGTATGTATACTGCTTTGATAAAGGTATTACAGTTCGCTTTTTTGAACGGTAGCACATGTTCCTGCTTCTCTGTCCTTTTTGCTATGCTATTTTTTCTCCTTAAGGAAATCTCGAATTCGCAATAGTGCAAACAAAGGGACTAGGACAAAATTAGAATTTACATTTTTGCCTATATTAGAAAAACAATTGTCCCAATGCCTCTACTTCAAACATTCCCAATGTAATAATGATATGAAAATCAAACTGCAAACAGTTGTCAATGCTGCACCCCTTTGATAACTGTTATCAATGTTAATGGTAGTCGTCATGGTTATTCATTGAATTTAGAAATTTATCACACTTATTTTTCGTTTTCTCTTTCCTTCTTCATTCCTTTTCTTTTTCCATTTCGTTTTTTTTTTCTTTTTTTGTTTGCATGTCAATGAAACAATGAACTTCTTTGGGAATCGATTATTCAACATTTTTCCTTTCATCCTCCTCCTTAAGGTCATCAAAGTTCAAGTATACGAAATTTTCTTTAACAATATTCTTTTTGTTTCAGTTTTTTCGCATTTGGTGCGATGTCAGGATAGAAAGAAAGAGGAGAAATTGTTTTTGGTGGTAACTTTCAGTTGAAGATTAAAATTTAGAGTAAGGGAATTTTGTTATGAAACTTTCCTCCTTCTCCTTTATTCCTCTCCATTTCTTCGTCATTCCTTTACCCTCCATCTTACACACTTCTTAGACATTTTGATGGCTTTTCATTTTATCTGGAAAAGTGATTATCGTAAAGGTATATTATTTGAAAATTATTTCTACCGAAAATGATTTTTCCGTCGTCCTTTTTTTCCTAATAGAAATATTATTTGTTATTTGTGCTCATAGTCTTTCGTGGAAAGGGACTGTAGGAAGTTAATCTATGCAATCTCAACTAGATCCATATAGTTAAGCAAATATAAGCTTATTAGCTGTACAGGGAGATACGACTGTATTATCTATGCCAAATTGTTTTCCCATCGTAATGAAAATGATTGATTGCAATAAAGAAAGCATGTGAAATGAAATATCAAAAAAAAAAACTACCTTTGCTTATCCGGCTTATTCGGAATGATATCTCTGTAAAGCTAAATAATTGATTTGTTTTCCGTTTGAATGGTTTCGCCATGTTAATTATCTTCTGGAATGAAGTTGTTGATAAATAAATGAAGAAATTGATATCATGAAAATGAAGCATGTAATCTTATTCCCAGTGATACGAAAAGAATATCTTCTACAACTGATATGATTTCCGAAGTTTTAACCACATCAATGACAAGGAAACCACGACTCGATCCAGAAAAGTTGTTGGGTGGATTTGGGAAATATGGCAAGTATCAGGTAGTGATATTGATGTTGGGAAAAAGATTTCAGTTTTTCGTAGCAGATTCTACAATCAGTTGATCTGACTGATATAATTTCAGATCCGTACATGCATACTACTAATGATACCTGCACTCTTCCACTCCTCACAAATGCTTATCATGGGATTTATCACTCAACCACCACCATTCCAATGTAACATCAATATTCCGAACTCTTTCAGTCCTTCTGTAAGTCTGTTATAGCATTTCTTTATTCATTGTGCAGAAGTTAAATGACATTATAAATAATAAATCTTTTTAGATTTATTTCTGTGAATAATGATACCTGTTAAAATGATAAGATTGTATTTTGTAGCAACAGACTTATCAAGTGCTTGATAATTGTCATGTATTCGAACTGAAGACCAATAAAACAATGCAATGTTCAACAGTACCTAATTCAACGTACCTATATGAAGAGGAAGTACCTTTTTCCACAATTAATTCCGAGGTTGGTTTTTAAAATGTGATAAGAGTTAACTGAGCTGTGCAATAATATCATTCGAATTGTTGTCAGAATGATAAACCCGGATGGGTCCCATTCACAATCGCGCACTTGACTTGTGGCGCAAAAACAAGTAACATACGTAAATCAAATCGTTGTAAATCTTCCGCGTTATGCAGCAAGAACTAGAGGTTAAGTTTCCTGGAAGTTTTCATGAGAGCTAATGATCAATTACTACTGATAGTGATAATATTGGGTATTAGTTGCATGAAAAATTTTCAGTTCAATTTAGTATGCGAAGATGAGCACTGGGCAGAGCATGGTACATCATTGTTTATGCTAGGTAAGCAGCATCAATATATATATGGTTGTGAGATAAAGTTTTCATTAATATTATCGAACTACCAGAAGTTTGAAACATTCACGTTTAAGGAGGGCTGTTCACACCAGTAATTACTCAATTATCTGATCTATATGGTCGGCGGAAATTGCTGTTGCTCTCAATGTGGACCGCTAGCATTATGGCTAATATCTGTCCGATGGCACCAACGGAGCTCACTTTCTTGGCTTGTCGTTTCATCCTTGGTGTCACAGCTATGGTACATTTCTAAAAGCCATTTTTTGTAACAGAAGAATAAATAAAATTCAATTTGAATAAAATGTGCGGGGATTTTTAGTAAGTAATTGAAAATTTAATTCAAGATTGAAAAAAGAATATGTGAGCATGCAAAACACAAATAAATTTTATGAGGATAAGGACAATTGTGTGAGTAACTGTGAGGATTATTAAATACTTCAAGAGGAAGAAACCGTTTGGATCTCCAGACCAGCTTCTCTCAGCATGCAAAACACAAATAAATTTTATGAGGATAAGTGTATTGAAATGGAACAAATTTTGAGTTGAAATGGAATCTAAGGACAATTGTGGGATGACGGGAAGAGGAGAGAAGGAAAAAAGACATGGCGCAAATGTGTTCGTTGCAAAAATTGCAGTACTAGTTTCTTTCTATAATGTTTGCGAACCTTATGCTATATATTTAGAGTATTTATGCTTTAATGTGGACAATGTGTTGTGAATCAGTGGCAGTCGAATTTAGATCCTTGATCCCAGTAGCATATACATTTGCATGGGTAACAGGGATCATGTTTGTTGGCATCCTGAGGATCTGGATCCTCAACTGGAGGTGGTTGTACTTCGCGATATCTATCCCAAGTACACTTAGTGCCTTATATTATTGGTTCGTCCTAGTCATCCTTTATGCTTATCTAAGTTGTTCAAATTACTTCAGCTGTGATTTCTCTAATGCGTCTTAGCAGACCTATATTCTATAGACTAGAGGCTGTTTACCTTGGAGACCTGCATCCTTTGGGGTTCAGTTCTGCTAAGATGCATTAAAGAAAGTCCAAATAAAACTGTGTGAGTAACTGTGAGGATTATTAAATACTTCAAGAGGAAGAAACCGTTTGGATCTCCAGACCAGCTTCTCTCAAACAATAAATAACTTCCCGGATTTTTTTTACTCTTTGTCCTTAAAAAGTAGCAGAGAAATACGATTGTCTTAAATGTGAAAGTGATTCGATTGCATGATAGTTTCTGTGATCAGTCTGATTTCAGGTTACTGCCGGAATCACCATATTGGTCAATAACCCACAATAAACATAAAGGCATAGAAAAGTAAATTTTTCTGATTGTTCACCTTCGAATATGTCGGCGGAAGAAATAATGGTCACTCCCATTTGTATTTATAAGATGTTAGTGGATGGAACGGAGTTCTCAGTACTGTTTGTGTTATTCATGTCAAAAAGCGCGTAGAAAAGAGTCTGAGTATTATAAGATTAAAAATGACTTCAAAAGATGAGGTCAGTTCTGCTAAGATACAATCGGAAAAGTTCAATCATTTTTTTATCCAAATAGAAAGCACAAAGCGAATTAGTAAAGTACTTCTGGCACGATTGCTAACATGCTAATCTTCCATCTTTAACTTATAAGTCATTAATTTGAAACAAAACAGATTTAAATATAAAATTATCTTTGAAACCGTTTTTTACGGCACAAATACAAAATTTTCAATGATAAATGATATTTAATATTTATTTTAGATATATTAAAGATGCTTGTCGTTACAACAATGTTAAGCTTGATTTGAGTAAATGTGAATTGGACTCTCAACAATCTGATAATCAGAATAAATCTCGTACTCTTATCGATGTTCTTTGCAACAGAGTGGCGCTTTTTCATTTGTTCGTGCAGTGCTATGTGATGTTCGTTTGTTTTCCTCTGTGTAATTTACGAACAATAATTATTGTAAATTAATTCCGTTTATTTTAGAAATCAAAGAGAGTCCAGGTTTTTAATTTTAGGATATCAATGAATATATCCTACTGGGCTATGGCACTCTTAAGCACAACATTAAGTGACGACAGTTTCACCGGTTATTTCTTATCTGGTTTCATCGAGTTGCCTGGTGGTTTGTTAGCTGTGATGTTATTACTTAAATTTGGACGACGTGCTATCACCATATGGTCCTTCTCTATGCAATTTATACTACTTCTCTTGGCTATACTTTTTCCAGGTAATCGGTGACATTTACTTCCATGGCACGATGGACATTTACTTCCATTGCTCATTTAAGATATGTTGACGAAATCACTGCAGGTAATGGAATAATGCAAATATCGCTTGCCGTAATAGCCAGGTTTTTCAATAGTTTCATTTGGGTTGCGCAGCCATTGATGCTTGCTGAAATGAGTCCTACAACAGTACGCAATATATTCTATGGAACTGTGCAGTTTTTCGGAGACATTGGTGCCTTCTTGGCACCTTATTTACCCTTGCTTGTAGGTTGCTATCAGAATATCAGTTCTTGTTACTCAGGAATTTTATTGATAAATAGAGTATGAAAGGAATACAGCAAAGTTAAATAGTGAGCATTAATGAAATCGTAAGGCTTTTGCTCAAGACCTTCTGAGATTATGATATGACTGTTAAAGGGAATAAGAATAAGATTAGGATCACAAAGGCATAACAAGTTGCAAAAGTGATGCTATTTTCCTTTGTTTTCTTTTTCACTGATTGGTTTATCAAAAAAAAATTTTCGGCTGAACTTCAGCATAACTGTAGTTACCATAGGATACTATAGTGGGGATGGAATAGGTGAAGCTCCATTTTCTCTTATAAACAGGAATATAAATACTGTCATGCCTTGCGAGCACCGTTCAAATTAAATGCCTTCTATTCTGTATTCCACTTCAGAGCTCTAGGGCATTTGCCTATAAGGATTATTATTTGTCATATTGCGTGGTAATAACAGTCTTATCTTATTGCAGAAAAGTATAAGCCCTCAAGCACCACAGGTGATAGTAGCAGTAGTTTCCCTTAGCGCAGCAATAATTTTGCTCACAGCACCTGAGACAAAGGATCGTCCGATGCCAGAAGATTTGAATGAGTTCGATCCAGGATGTTTTCTACAAATGTTCGGATATCGGAAACAAACAAGGGAAAGTGTCTTCTTAACAGCGAAGAATGTAGTAAGAGCAAGTAGTAGCTTTCTATTATATTTCTTATCCTTCATTTGAAAACTTAATTTTATTCATAAAATTCAACACCTCTCTGAATTTGAACTGTACTTGGGGGAGTTTAAGATCGGACCTGCTTATGTGAGTTGCGTGCTACATTATTACTATTAATGCATTGCTTCGGAGCAATACAATGAGTTCCGGAGCTATCAGAAAGATCATTCTTACTGGAAATCTACCAAATCACTTGGAAATGGAAATGCGAACAACACAGCAAAGGCACGGATCGAATCGCAAGATAGCCTTAATTGCTTCGAACTTAATCCTTAAAGTGCCTCGTAATTTTGACCTTCGAAGGAAAAAAAATGGTTTCTCTGTTTTCTTATGAAAAGTACGATAGATGTAAATAATAACACTGGTAACTTTTTCAAGTCTTCTAATGCATTATCTTCCAAGGTTCAATGAATCAAAATGTAGCTGAAGAAGAGAAACTTTGATAATGGAAAGTGATGAGAAAAATGTGATGACTTCAAATACCTTTTACACTTCATAAGTACATCAGATTTTATTTCTGATATCTGCTCGCTTAAATTTATTAATCCATTTTTATTTTTTGAACTTTAACTATTTTTAAGTTCTTCATTGTCTCTCATTCTATTTTTGCTGATTAAATTTCATGAAATTATTCATTGCTGATATTTCTTCTGAAGATGGTAATCCGGAAAGTTTATATAAAATAAGTTTGTTAGCACTAGTACAAATGCTATAATTAAAAAGAAGCTATAAATAAAAAATGGAACTTTTGAAGTACGCATCAAGTTTCTGAATTCTAACTTTAATTTTTGTATTTCGATTGTTTCCGATGGTTCCAAGATATATTAAAAGAAGATTCCACTCATTTTGCTCTGATATACATGATCATTTATCTTACATTGATCCTTTCAATGTAACGATAGGGAAGACTGTAGCAAGAATTGGTCTTCATAGTTTATTACTTGTATTAAAATTGGAAGAAAATTAAGATTTCTTAGAATTAAAATCAATTTCATTATTCATAATCATGATTACGCTTCACGAAGATTTGGGAAAGACTTTGCCCTACGCTTACTGCAAGCGCTACGAATGTGAGTATACCCTTTGGCCGCAGTGAGATTTTTTAGGCAAGGCGCAGCGTGCGCGGAATGTCCCCACCCTTTACTCCGAAGGTTCATCTGCAGGGCCTAATGAGCTAAGACGATGATAACAAAGTTCTCAGGATGTAGATTTACTTAGAGTATTCTTCTTTTAGATGGATGGCCTTGGAAGGCTAAATGAACTCCATCTGCGGATTTGGAGCTAGAGTTGTCCTTTTCCTAGAACAGTTGCCGGAAGGTTAGCCAGCCCATCATGCCTCTGGACACACTTTGTTCGATCCATCAGTTAAGATCCGTCTGGCATTGGAAACCATACCAAAGGTATGTGCTATCACCAGCATAGATCTCAACCTCATTAGGGCATGAATGCTTCTCTCCCCACGCGACAAGAGAGTATTCATAAAGAAACGTTCAACCATTAATTATATGGAATAAAGCAATTTGCTGCTGCCCACTACTATTGTTCCTTTTGCTTCATACCGATTTACCAAAGTTCCTAAACTCGTTTACGTTCATGAAAACTATTTTAACAAGTTAACGCATCCAATCTATCCCCTAGTTCTTAGAGATTCATCCTTCACTTCATACGGTTGTTTCTTTTTTAAATCCTGCAAAACTATTTTAACAAGGATGGCAGTGCAAAATTGCAATTTCATTGAAACTTATTGTCTGGAATTTTCAAAACAATATTCGTCCGTTTTGTTTCATTCTTCATTTCTAGTTTTAACGGAAGGAAGTCTGAATTTTTCAGGTTGTGATATTCATCATATTCATCTTTGGTTATTCTCATAGTAGCAGGGTAAAGTCAATTCTAAAAGCATGAAAGCTACTAATCTTAAATTGTTTTTCTAGTTGTATGTGGTAACATCTTTGTCCAGTCTATCATCTATTTAGCTGTTTTGATTAATGCACTTGAGATATCGTCATCACCACTGTGATCCATTATGATATTATCATGGTTGTTGTCATTCTGCATCTTCTTCTTCCAACAACCTTACCTTTTGCCCAAGATTAAAAGCGCTCTCAAAGATTGTCTTAATCATTTTAGTCTTATAGAGTTCTCCATCAGAAAAGTCATGGTGCAAAATATTTCAATGTTTCAAATTCTGTAATTGATTGATACTCCATATAAGGTTTTGTTTTTTCTCTGTAGACTCCGAGTTGAAAATATTCAGGGATTTTTTCAAAGTTTAGTCGAGAAGAAAAGGAGAGCACTTCTGTAAAATGCAGTAAAATATTCAGCGACGTAAAATTGACTGTTTATGATTTATTTTTGAGCATGGAAAAGCTCATTGTAGTCCTTCATGATCATTTCCCTTTCATGCAACCAGTTCGATTCTCTTCTACTTTCTATATCATTACAGCATTACAGCATAATACTTTCAAGTTCATAGATAATAAAGTTCGCAGGCAGAAGAATGTTGCAAAGTGATTTAATGAAAACTTTCAGTAACTTGCCAAGTTACGGAAGATTCACCAACATTCTTTGCTTCACATGCACCACTCAAACCACACTAAAAAATGAATTTTTTCGATTTCTTCTCTCTACTGCAAATTTCATCTGTAAATGCCGATAATTCAATAACGTTGATTTGATGTCCCTGGCGGTCTCTCACCATTTCGTCATCTACACGGTACCAAGGTCAGTACGGTGAGCGATCGACACCAGTTCCGTGAATATTGAGTTTCTATTAATTATTTTAACTGATACTAGCAAAGAGTTACCGACTGCTAGGCTTTTAATGTCCTCCCTAATGACATGTAAGCGGTGCTACCGTAGTGTTCACTCACTTTCGAGAACCGAAAGACTCTTGAAATTAATCAATATTCACCATGCAACCTACAACTTTCAATTATTCCACTTTATCGTTGTATCAGGAAATTCTGGTTTACTTCCATTACCGCTATACGCACAGCCAGTCTATTCACCAGCAAACTGGGTCACAGTAGGAGCCTTTCTTTGTATTTCTAAATCTGTTCCATATCTTTTGTTCACATACAGATAGACTGGTAGATTCCTTGTTGTTTGTTGTTGTTGTTGTTGTTGTTATTGTTGTTGGTAGTTGTAGTTGTAGCAGTAAGCAGAGGGTATAGTATCTTTGCTGAAAAAACTGTCGAGTAGGAGGCTTGGTTTTTTTTTTTTTTTTCATTTACCTGATCACGATAGGAAGGTATGAAACTTTGGAGTATGTCTTCTTGATTGTCTGACATTCTGTCTCTATCTTTTTGTCGTAGGTTGTCAACCATTTCCCATCAATATTCTAGACATTTCGAAAACCTTGTTTGGCGTCACCGACATTACCCATCGCTTTTTGCTCCCACCAAATATTCTGTTCATTCACTCTATCTTAACATCACTTCAATCTCATCGTCATGACATATTTGGATATTGTTTTGTGTTTCTCAAAGGTTTAATTCAGCTTTACCGCATTTTCTGCTGGCGTCACAATTGTCACAATTGTTTTATGCTTTATTTTCTCTGGAGTGATTTGGGATGATTATTCTGCAACTTTTCTACTCGAATTTTGCCAACGAATATCCACGTCATACAAGACATGTATAGAGAAGGCAAGATGAGTAAAGTAAAGGTCATTTGATGGACAATAATGACGATGATTAGTTTGTGTAAGGAAAAGTAGAAGTGAGCGGTTAAGAGTATCACAATTTTCATTCAAATAATAAAAAAATTGCTCCGTTATAAGAATGTCTTGCTGAATCTTTAATAACATGTAATTTGTGAACGACATTAATTCACTGCAAAAATAGAGATGGAAATGAATCGTAACATCGAGCCGAACAACAACATCTCATTTGTTTCTTTCAATGATCGATTTCTATTTTGATTTCTTTCTATTAATAAAACTATTGCCAAGTTTCGTTAGTTTTGGAGTAGTTGAAAAATACGATTAATTCCCGTCCAGGAATTGAAATTTTTAAGCTTGCATAGTAGGATAAGTATACGATCATTGATTCATTGTTATGATTCATTTATTTATTGTTATAGAATTATTAATATAAACCACATCTTGACAGTTCTTAGTTTACTGTTATCCTTCTAAGAATTACAAAAGTAACGAATTGTACGGAAATTCCATTCCCCAGTTTGGTAAACAAATGCTCAAGTTACATGAAGGAATTATGCACATATGCAAACATAAAATTTCTTGCGATATGGACAGAAGCAGTGGATACGAAATTAACTTCCAACAGTGTATTCATCCTTTTTGGAGTAGAAGAAAAATAAAATGTGACAGACAGATTATCATATTTTTCCTTTTTAAAATCAAAGGAAAGATGAACCTAATAAATCATCAAGATGAGTGAAGGTTGTGTTTTTTTTTACAATTAAACATTACTTTTTTCAATTTCATCGCGTCTGTTTTTTGTTTCTTGTCCCCTCATATCTTAATTGTGAACCTTCCCCAATTATTGGTATATAATATTGGTATAGAAGAAAGAACTCGAGATTTGTAAGTTTTCCACTGACCCTAGAAAATTTAGTCCGCAGCTGAAAGAAACTTTAGTTGGTACTTCTTATCATGTATCAAGTTTTTCTGGAAGGTAGCAAAAATTGAAAGCTTTTCAGGAATTTACGCATATAAAAATTAAGGTTAGTAAAACGAAAAATGCAGCCACATGAAACATTTGTGCACTCTTTGAGAAATATTATTCTGTACTGTATCATACCCAATGTTTGGAGTACAAAAGGCCATCGACCATGAAGAGACTGACAAGCTAATTCCTGTTGTCTTATGATTAATTAACTGTCTTCCAAGGAATGAAAGAAGAGATAGGTGTGCCCCCATAAGCCTTTTCGTCAACGTCACTCAGAGAGTTTACTTTTTCTATTCTTTGAAGTATAACAGTTCCTTCTTACTAACGTCTCCAAACTTTCTCACCATCTTTTCACCCAACTTAGACGCGCACCACTCACATCACTTCGAAACAATTCCCGTCAATTCCCACACTCTCGCGCTCCATTTAACATGGGGTGGTAATTTTCATAGCAGTCTGGATTGAACAACTCAAAAAGCAGTCATTGTTTCTTAACACAACTTTTTAAAATTTGTAAACCGGTTGCTGACCTACTGTTTGAATCGGGTTTGCCCAATTCCACATAATTTCGGTAGGCTGCAAAGCGTGCAGTTCATATCACATTGTGAATATGAGATAATGAAAACAGTTTTCCGGCATTTGATATTTTTATAATGAAATGACATTATATATGAATAAGTACTTTAAATTGGACTCTTAAAGGATTACAAGCCTCGCTTATGCGCTGTAATTTCTTTCCGTAATTATTGTATCTTCTCTTCACTGAGAAGGTTAATGTAAATTAAAGTATCTACTGATAATATTAATAATCCATCAGGTTGCGTTATTTACTAATCCAGTGTTTAATTTCACTCATTATACTAATCTATGATCTGAAAAACTTGCAATAAATCATAACTATGTGTCGCTGTATAAAGATGTGAAGTTTGTAAATGATGTTTGAATAAAATGTAGGTTCTTGGTCATCGTAGTTATTGTGAAGGTGAAGAATGTTGTGTGATCGCTCAAAAAAAATTTTTGTTTAAAAATTATAAAAACGAAAAAGTACGACAACATTGTTTTGGTACAACTACAAGTTTTATTCGATATAAATTAAGCGCCCCAATGGCAGTTTTATAACATATCTGGTAAAAATGATATCACAGAAATGAAAGTGGTGAAGTTCAAAAGAATCGAAATTCGAAACTAAGATGGAGAATAAAAGAGTAGATAACGAATAAAGCTATTTTATTTGAGATTTATCGTGAAATCTTATGAGCTAATATAATATGATTGAGTATTTCAGAAATGTTTCCTCTATCATTTTGTTTTTTTTCGAGCCAAATCAAAGATCAAAAAATGGTTTGATTTGGAATCATATTTTTCCACTTACCACTGGGTATCATCGCGAGATATTTCCCTGTTGTTGACGCAAAAATAAACAAGAAATACTGTTACATAATGTTGCAAATTTTCTGCAGAAATAGATCGTTAAAAATTGTGCGAGAGGGAGAAATGATGAAAGTGGTGATTTAAGATTGTCGCGCTTGTTTTGAAGGAAATCAACCCGAAATATTGGTTGCCGAGAGAGTGTGCACATTGCTAAATATATCAGGGAAGGAAGCGATCGTGTCAGCTTTGTCGTGATTTGCTACTCTCCGTCATACTATCATTTTATCTCTATTTTTGTTTAGCACTTCCAGCATTTTTGTCTTTGCCTTCTACATTCCGCCTTGAAGGACAGAGAGAGAAAGAAACAGAAGGAGAAAAAAGGTGAGTTGAAGCATGAAGTAATATATCACTTTGCAATTTCTTGATCTTCCATATTTGCTACCAGTAAAAATCATGATTTGGCCTCCGAGGAACTTATATGCAGGATTTTGCAGGAAATTCTGCTAATGCAAAATTTTTTAGGCTACAGAGGAATAGAAATGCATTAACTTTATCATGACTGCATCATTTTGTTAAGAAAGAGCTAATAAGAGGATTCAAGACTCATCTTAAATTATTTTCCTACACATTTTTTTATTTTCCTACACATTTACACAGTTCAGGTCTCTAAACTCCTGCGTAAATCGTAAATATGGGATTGACGAAGACTGGCTTCCTTTACATATATTGAATCTCCCATCAAGATTTCCCATCACGACTGACCGCTTAAAAAAATTAATAAATTCTGAATTCATTTTAAAAACTATCGCCCTACTTTTCATTTGCTTCATTATAGTTGTGTTTTTTATTTCTTTAAAATCATAATTTCGAACAGTTTTGCTGTTTTTAGCAGAATGAGCTACCGAAGTAACCTAAAAATTTTTTTTCATGATTTGAATATCTGATAGACCTTCTACACATAAGTGTTATTTTACTATTTTTGCTTGAGAAATGATTTCTCCTCAGTTCAAATCAGTCATTCGATTATATTAAATCTCGACCTGAATTAATTGTTATCGTGTTTCTTCTATTACTAGACACTGTACAATTTCGATTTATCCGGCTTAAAAATTTGTCGAAAAATTAATTGGCTTATGACTTACAAAAACAATGTATCGCCTCTATTCGAAAGCTATTTTTGCGCTAAATAATGCTCCTTCTTGTTACATTTAGCAGAAGTAAAATTGGAGAAGTGGAGAACTATTGTTGTATTATTGCAGAAAGCTGAAATTTTATAAAAATTTAATTCCTTTTAGTTAGCATCTAATCTTTTCATCTATCACTTTTTTTTTCAGAAGTAATAATAGAACTGTCCGGCTAGTCGCAATAGTTTCACGTGATTAGACTAGATGGAGCATAATAGATGCTAATAGATAATTCTGTTCAGATGAATGGATGGAGTACTGCTTATTTGTTTAGAAAAACTATAAATTGTCAAAATAACCTATCTCCGTACCCTTCATTGAATTCATCTCAGTCCTGTTGCCGATAACTGTCACTCAATCCTCATTCCAAATGTTCCTGTTTGTTAATTCTTCTAATAACCTTCAGTTCCGTTACCATTACAACTGTTATTTTCAATACCACCGCTACTTATAATTCAACTACAAAGAACTTTAAAAGACAGTAACGCATTGCACCATCTCTCCTTCTTTCATGTAGCGCGTAAAACATTATTTTTTGCCATAGCTAGGAACTGCCTAATTCATTTAGTATACTTATGCAGACTGTCAAATATGATAAAGTTACTGTGAAATCAGCTTGCATAGTATAGCTGTCTTTATTAAAAATCAAGAAATTTTAAATTTTTCGTTAACTTCATCCGTCCAACTATTGGTTTACCAAATTTCCGAAAAAAAGTAAACTCGAAGTAATGAATAAGGATAGAAAGATTTTATAAGCAATAAAAACCACAAATAATTTAACTTATTTCTCCAGTCATTATTTTTAAACAACTGATAATACTTTTTTACTTTTATTTTTGAAAACAATGTAATCATCGTTTCCTAAGTACATTTCTCTCATTAATCAGCAATTACTGGATTTGATTATAACTTGTATTAATCCTATGTTTTTTGACTGTAACAGATTCTTGAACTTTGTCTAATAAGCAAAGAATTTTGTTTTGGAAAAATAAATTTTTGAACACTGGAAACTATAGCAAAGCTTGGCTTTTCTTTAATATAATCTTTTTCATCTTTCTGAGAATATTATGTAATTGATTTAGTCAAGTTTTCCAATCTACGGTTTTCTTTCTGAATCAGCTGAAATTAAAATCGATTTCTTTCCTTTTTCTCCTCTTTGCTTTTTCTGTTTCAATGCCTCACTTGAAAAGCTATGCATGTACAAATCAGGGTTTTTTATGCATATACAAATTAAATTAGGTTTTCAATCAGGATTTTTATTATGATCCACCCATTGTATCTAATACCTGATTTTTTCATCTATTCCCAATAAATACATTTAATTTAATTTGTATATAATCTTTAGAAATAGCAAATACCATCAAAACATTTGCTTCGCATTCGATAACAGTCCATTGCTACATTGGAGTCTCTGCTCAGCTGTGGCGAAAAACTGTCTCATTAAATGATAGGTCATTATGGCACATATCGCCAAGAAAGTAAAAAAACTTGCGACAGTACAATTGTACAACCTGAAAGTACTCCTAAATGGTATTCTTTATTGTATTTTTTGTAACAACGAGGGTTTCTAAATTAATTCAAATCAAAAAAGAAGTGTAAACGTTGATTTTGTTCTATGATTAGATGAACCTATTCTTTGATGAGTTCGAGTAAGCTCCAAAATATCGCATCGAAAAATTCAAAATTTAGTAAATTTTAAAGTAAATAGTTAAATTGGAAATTATCCATACAGATAGATACGTATTGGGTAGAAACTTGTTAACATGCACAAACATGAATACCTTTTCAGTAACAACAAATCTTAGTAACAAAACTTTAGGTCGTGGTCTGTCGAATTTCAAGAAACACTACAAGCTTAAAGGAGAACTTGGTCGTGGTGGTTTTGGGGTAGTCTATCGTGGAACCCGGATTTGTGATGAACTTCCGGTTGCTATCAAATTCATTGATCGTGATCAAGTTCATAATTGGGGAAGGGTAATATTTGTTTTTGTCATCCGTACAAGTTCGAAACCAAGCTAACAGTTCTGGCAATGATGCGATTTTACTGGGTGGTTGCAAATATCCACTTCAGTTAGAAGATGAGCGATTACCGATGGAAATTTGCATGTTAGCACGGTGTATTAATGTCCCGGGAGTGATAAAACTACTGGATTGGTACAGTATGCCGGAAGGTTTTTTGATTGTAATGACACGTCCATATCCATGCGTCGACTTGTTCGATTTTATTAAAAGTCATAAGAAGTTGGATGAAGATGTAAGTTTAACAAGTATGCATGATTAAAATAAAACAGTGATTACTTGGGAAGAAATGACATATTAAAACTTGAATTGTACTTAAGTAGTTACCTTCTACTTGGCAGTGTAACAGTTGGAAGATGTTCACAATGTTACCAAGCATTGAAAAGATTCAAAATTAATTTCAAACTAAATCTTATGACTCATTGCAATGTTTTCCAGCTTACGCGATTTTTGTTCCGACAAATCGTTCTAACTGTTCGCGACTGTGCCCAGCAGCAAGTATTGCATCGTGATCTTAAGGTCTGCACTGCTATTGTATAAGGATGTGAACAAAGAAACGACTGGAAAAGTAATTGCTGTTTCTTTTCTAATCGTTTCTTTGTGCTTCTTTTTTAAAATACTCTTCATTTTTTTCAAAAATATTTTTTTGGAAAATTGATTTACATCTCAAATATGCTTCTCGAAATTTTAGCATACTGGGGCATCAGTGATCATCATGAGCGGTTTTCATCATCCTACTCAATATAACCATACTGAAATACGGGTCGGAGTAAGTGGAGAGCATATTATACTTGACAGCTCTTTGTTTTACACTGAAACTAATTAATTTTTATGCATTATTTTTAACTAAATTTTAAAGCTAACATTTCAGGACGAAAATATAGTGATTGATTTGGTGAATGGCGAAACATCATTGGTTGATTTTGGCGCTGCAACTCTGCTCAAGAAGAATCACTATACTGATTTCCAGGGTATCTCTTTATTAAAGTAATGCTGTCCAAATGATTTAGAGAATTTCACTTTCGCAAAATACATTCAGATTCAAAACAACAAATTCTTTGCTATTACTTGGACAGTTACTTCCTCGTAGGTACTATGAATGGTACTGAATTTGTTCTATGGGATATTAGCCAATTAAAACGAACTGTGTGAATTCAGGTGAAATGAGCTTCTTAAATTTAACAACCAGCGGAGAGTGGCCAGTTAGAGCTGATATAACTTCAATAACAGCATAGCATTCAAATCATTTGACTGAAGACTGAAATCAGCTTTCATGGCTTTTCATTGATGAGAATGGTACGTTTCAGGAACTCGTTTGTATTGTCCACCGGAATGGTTCATGCACTCGATGTATTTGGGTCGCGAAGCAGCAGTGTGGTCGTTGGGTGTCCTGCTCTACAACATGCTCAATGGAAGGTTGCCATTTCGTGATGAAAAGGAGATTTGCACATCACATCTACTAAGACCATTACCATCTTATGCACAAGTTAGCAAAAGTAAGTTTCTGGAAGCGCAATAAACGCAATGAGAAGCAACTCTGTTCCATATTTCAAGGTTTTAACCTGTATTATGTAGCATGCTTGAACTGGAAAATAGATTAATTTTTAGCAACTCCACATTCCACTCGAGTTTCGAAGGAATTTTCTCAAGTTTCAAGTCAAGTTTTGAAGGAATTTTCTGGAATTTTCAGTTTTTGAAGCAAAAACCATTTTCTTCAGGTGCCATGGATTTGATCAATCAATGTCTGCGCTTCGAACCGAATAAGCGATGCACCCTAGACACAATCCTGCAGCATTCGTGGATCAGAGCTCCATGTGCTGACTGGTGTACATTGATAGATCGCACATATCAAAACTCATATAACGATCAACAGCACGATGTCATATGCGCAAATCACAGATCAAAGAAACAGGCGGAGTCAAGGTAAGTTTTTCGCTATTCTCAGCGATGTTATTGATAAGCGATAAGTAAAAAACATCGGTGCATAAAAGTGACGCATGCATGCTTGCGCCATTACGTAACTTCTCCTTGCCACAGTAGTCGTATTTAAATGTTTTCGTTACACATACTCATGCCCATATTGGCTGAATCAGTTTCAGTTACGCCGAATCGGGTGTCGGTAGTACCTCCAGTTTCAAACCATCCACCTCATCTTCATTTATGGCTCGTTATCGTCGAGGTGAACTAGGAGGAGGTGGTATGATATCAGGACTGTTATCTCGTCTCAGCCAGGGTTGTCAACACTGGGATAGAATTCGAGTTTGCCAGTCAAAAACATCGTTGATGGGTGATTCCCCTTCACCAATGAACATTCGAGAATTTGTGAAGATGATTCATCTACAGCAGAACAACATTTCGTTCGGTCGAATGAGTAATGGACATCCCATTAACCATCTGTCCGTTTCCACTCCTCGGTTAACTTTTTCATACGTCCAAAATTCGGAAGATTTCAACTGGACGCGATCTCCCGCTCTAAGACCTTTAATCAGGAAGAAACGCTCTACGGATTCCGGACAGCAATCAGCATTTTTCTCACCAGCAGCACTGCTATCAAAACCATTCAGCCATGAGAGCTTTAACGGGAGAACGGGTGGAGTACTGGTATTTTAATATTTTGTTTAATTTTCAGCTAACTGTATGTATATCTTTGCCCATGCAGTTCCATTGTATGTCCAAGTATTTTGATTTGATTTGAAGATTTAATTTGCGTTATTGCTAGGAGCTAAGGAAGAATTGAATCCGTAAAATAGAATACCAACTAGTCAATAAGGTTGTAAAACGCCATTTCCAGAAAATATTTTCTTTCTTCTTTTGATTGATATGAAGAATGACAGATTACTTCCCATGGATTTCAAAATAAATGTGCATCTCACACTGAATTATTGTCAATTCGATTAATAAATTACTTCCATTACCAAATATATATGTGAAAATAGTCATTTAACCGATTATTATTACCATTCTTCCTTGTGACTAAAGATGATCTGTTGGATACTCATTCATCTGTTGTACTCATTTCAAGAAAACTACTAAACATTATAACAAATTGAATTTATTTCAGATTCAGTGCAAATTAAATCAGGCATATTTAGGCACATTCATCAACAAACTTTCTAAAATAAAGGCAATGATTCTTTGACATTGACAGAAATGATGGGCAAGGACGATTGCACTTTTCCATTGAGAACAATTTGAGATTAAATTTCAGGAAATTTGGAAAAGTAGTCATTACATGGCCACTTATAGGAGATAATTCTAAGGTAACGATCTTAAGAAGTACCAACAGAATAAAAGTTAGCCCATATTCCTTAAAGCATTTTCTTGCTAGTGCGATATGTGAGGCAATCACATAATGCACGGGCACTAATATTTTGGTGTGCAACATGCTTTGCAGCTGCAGAACAAGACAAGTGTTTTTAGCAACTATGAGAGAGTGTAAGAAGCAAAATGCACGCTGTAGCAAATAGAACAATATATTTAACAAAAATGAATCCTGATTTAATAAGGACCTTATTCGTACATTGCATGAAAAATAATAGGCCATCAGAAGAATGATTTGAGCAATTGATATGAATGATATGAAGCGATAAAAAGTGATGTGCCTTCAACTTCTGTACTACTTCTTTCACTAGCATTGCATGATTAATGTTTGGCAGTCATGGAGTGCTGAAACGGAAGTCCTAATTAGAGAATCTGGCATAGCATCAATTTTTCGCTGAATATGAGTATAAAATTCTCACAGATTCATAAATGCCTAACATAACAACATACGTATCCCTTTTGACGAAAAAAAATGAGTAATAATTCGCAGGCAGAGATATTCTGTATTAGATACAGCGGATGAGTTACAAAAATGGCTTCAATTTCGAAATGCTCATTGAAAAGTGATGAAATAATAAATGTAAGGAATAAAGATCAACGGCTACAAGGCAGAAAGAACTCGCTATGTTGTGAGGTTAAAAATTTCACAAAAAGCATTTAACAAATCGCAGTAGGTAATATGGTTTAAAAGCATATGATCGATCGAATTAACCGTTTAATATTTATAAACGGGAAATAGAAAAGCCTGATTCAACTGAAAAATAATGTCTTTCAAGTATTAAAAGGCCATAGAAAATGAAAAAAAAAATGTCACAAGCCTTCTTATAATCTTCTGAAGATTCATAGTAGCTGGAATGAGGTTTATTCGCTGATGTTCCAAGCATATACCTCATCATTTACAAAGTTTCCAGTGCCTTTGATCATGTGTACAGATGTAGTACTGTAACCGAAGTTGAACATAAGTAAATCTATTTCCTGTAAAGAGATATAAAAGGATGGAAAAAGGCATCTTTAAAATAAACGATAAGCACCCAACACTTGAACTCAAATTTTGCCTACATTAATAAGAAAGCTATAATACTTAAGGCATGATTGGTCAAAAGATACGACAAATTAAAGTATAGGCAGTTCTTTCTTTTGGAGAGACAAGTTAACGGAATTACATAATTGGTTAACGTGCCGTACCACTTGTCATGCACATTATTCTCCCTCCTCTTGAACGATATTCAGATGTTCTGATGATAGACCACGATCACCCGTTTTAGATTCCAACAATCGTTTCAAATAATCACTCTGAGGTATTTGATAAGTGGGATCCAATACATCCACAAATTGCTAAAAAGAACTTGTATATAAGGTACCAACGACGACTTTAAAGGTTTCGGAAAACTTACGCCATCTTTTTAATATTAACGCATTAAAAGAGTAATGTAGAAATAGAGAGAAAGAGGCCATGAAGACTATAGAAATTTTGGTGGGTAGGAGAAAATTTTAAATAGGTTTTTAGAGAGATAAAGTACCTTATTACTACAAGTAAAAAATTCACGTTGCGGAACACACTGTTCCTGTTGCCAACAACCGATCGAGGCTGTTTATTGCAAATGATTTTTGTGAAAAAAATAATAATGCTGAAATGTAACTGAGGTTACGAATCGCAACCAGAGTTAGATGTTTCTCAAACGGTTTAATAATGAGGTGGCTGAAACTGTCTGTGGTTGTGGCACAATGATACAAAGAATGGTTCACATGAATTTCATGTGGTCGACTAAAGTTTTTTTTAATTCATTGAAATTCATATGAAAACTTTTTATAACCAATGAAAAACCCATCCAGATCATTGTGCCTCATAAAGAAAACTTTGATGAAAAGCACGGAAGTATTAATAGAAATACCTTAAATTCAGGTAGATCAAGTAACTGGAACGCATTTGCTCTAATTAAAAACTTCGCGAGAGCAATATCTCTAGCAGACTTGACAGCATTAAACTGTTCATCGGTGAAACCTGTAGCTGTTAGGTCACGAGATGGCACAATTGGTTTTGTGGTATTAATGGTAGCAGTTGCTGCAGCAGAGGTAGTGGCAGTTATGCTAGTAATTGGATTTTCAACGCTTTTACGTGTTTGGCGTACTTTCACTACTTCGCCTGTAGGCAATCTTTTACTTATTGTTCTGAAATAAATAATGAAATAGAAGAAAACAGAAAAAATTGTTTTCTGGAAACAAAGCAAAAAAAATTTGAAAGAAAAAGCCAATTCACATGCCTCAATTGATTTGCAGAGAAAAGAAGAGAATGAGTAATTATAATTATAATTGTAATTTTAGGACTTTTAAATTATGCTAAAACAGCCACCTAACAGACTTCGTTGTATCCAATGCAGTTGAAACGTGTGCATTCACCAGATGATTTCGAATAGCGCTTCCACTGACTATGGACTGAGTATTTAGAAATTTATTCTGTAGAGGTGGTTTTGATGATATTAAGTTCGACTTCGCGAGACCAAGACGCATCAGCAAATTGGTGTCGACTAAGTTTGATGTTTCATCCGAACCAAAACTAGCGGTTCTATTTGTACTACCAATTGCAGCGTAATCAACATTTGGATCTGAATCGTAGTTAAATAAGCATTTTCATAATATCAGAAGATATCTTTACATGGCCAATCAGAATTCAGATCCTTTCTTATCTCGCACATGGATTTCTCCAATTAGACTGTGTTTTTCTAACAAACAAAACGAGGATGGGACATGTTTATGTAAGGAAAAAAAGTATAGGAAATGGAGACAAAAAAGAGGATCTATTTTCATTACTATATAATTCTACCTCCAGTGTAGCCACCAGATATTTAAGGCCTAGCTTTTGGAGTTTTACGATTGGATTCTTAAAATCCCGAAGTGTTGAAAACTATTGCTATATTTAATGACAGTGAGGGTCTCATTAAACTTGAAACACAGGGAGAAAGATTAAATAATTAAAGGAATCATTTCTCATTGAATCCAGACAAAAATTCTGCTGAATCACAATCTTTACCAAAAAATTTTCTCAAGCTTTTTATCTGACCGAAATTTCTTCCTCGACATAGTCTTAACGATAAAATGACTATAACGAATGGTTAGTGAAATGTTCATACTGGTAATTTCCGTTGATAATTTTCGGTAAATTACATCTACAACAAGAACACAGAATTAATAACGCAATGCACGTGGAAAGGAGTGGAAGCAGAAAGAGGAAGGAGAAAAGAAAAGAGGAATTGACGAGTTTTTATAGAAGTTTGAATTTCAAACCACAAAATATAGTGAAACAGTCTTAGTAGATTTATTTCATCTCAATACGTTGCTTCTATGCGTACCACGTAAATTTACAAGAAAAGACTCGAAGTGCTATACGGGAATAATTCCACTGAATTTACCACGAAGTTTAACATTTAAGAAACTAATAGAAAATAAACCAACATTGTAAGTCCGTCGACTGCGTTTGACTTGCTGCTGCCATCTCGATCATTGCTTTAACACGTTCCGTATTAGTCATAGATATAAAACTTTCGTCCTCAAAAGCCCCTGTACTGAAATGTCAAACACAGTCAAGTAAATCGGAAAAATGTTTCAGTTTATTAATACTTTTAGCTGGTCCATTCAGTGAAAGCAGTGTTATATCAACTCTATGTGTGTTTGTATCGGTAGACTAGACTATCTAGTTTCAGTAGGCCCTCAATAGTGACATCTTCTTAGCTTCGTATTGAAACAAGACATTCGGGCCAAAGCCTTATATTTTATGTCTAATGTAAATTTAATACAAACATTTAATGTAACATTTACCTGCATGACCAGGTAGATGTTAAGAAGTGAAAGATTTAGAATCTCACCTAACCAACGGAGAGAAACTACCTAATACCAAGTTCGGAGAGGGACCTTAATATCAACTTCAAGGAAAGGAGTCTGATACCAATGTGTTTTACCTCGATATACTCTCATATCAGAAATGGCAAAGATATTTTTTAGTACATACCTCAGGGATCTTTTCTTCGCTTCCGTTTGTTCTTCTTCCGTACTACTGATATTTGCATCTTCGCTGCTGTTTCTGCATGTAAGAAATGGTGATCCAGTTGCTGGATGTTTTTTCACTATGTGTCAAAAAAAAGCCATAAAGTTGTTCCCTGATAATGACAGCATATCCTACACCTTTTTTCCTTTCTAGATAATTTACAATTGCTTACAACTGTCTAGTCCGATGATGCAAAATCCAAAGTGCCGATCTGGGTGTGAATTTCACGGAAGACAGGAAGGAAAAAATCCATTTAATCCGCTTGGTTACCTGCGTATTGATAGGCTAGACTACCTAATTTCAGTAGGACACCAACAGTGACAACTTCTTAGCTTCGTACTAAAACAAGACATTCGAGCTAAAGCCTTATATCTTATGTCTAATGTAAATTTAATGCAAATAAGTTGACTGCATGACCAGGTAGATATTAAGAAGTGAAAGATTTAGAATCTCACCATTTTCATTCAGTTCTTTGTCCAAAAGCTAGAAGTTGGCGTATTTTTCTTGCTTATTAAAAGCTTTGGGAGGACAAACAAGACTGAACATTTCTATCATCGACTGATCGAAGTCCAAACACTAACTTAAGGGTATGGTCGTCATGCAAACATGTCTAACACAGATCAGACTATCTTTTGACTTTCGGTTTTAAAGGATGACCAGCGCCATCTTATCTTTGAGTTGAAGAACGGTCCATAACGGATGCTGGAGAGGACTGAATGCCTCTACCTTTTATGCTATAAACCAGAAGCTGATTTCCCGTACTTGCTCCCTTGCTCTGAGAATTCAACATGCATTTTTTAGCCTTACTCTGCTCATGCAGCGACCCACCATATGATGCGAAAACTTTTCAGGAGAAGCATCAACGGATACGGTAACAAATTACCTTGTTCAACCTGACTAAAAGAATGCAGTAATTTAAATCCACTCCCACCGATTGAATACGCAATACATTATTTCTCGGTTCTAGACTTATATCTTTTGCTTGCTTCCTCGGAAGGGTTCAAACTAGTTTGGAAGCATTCCATTCACTCTACCATGAAAACGGCAGTCACTGGAAAGAAGCTGGACAGAAAGAGACGAGGAGAAGGAACCACAAATTATGAAGTCCGATTCATGGCTATGAATGATAATACTGATCGATAATTCAGCTGCCCTTACTCTCTGATAGTTTACATGGAGATAAGTTGCAAATTATAACCTACTTTTTCAAGGGAGATGAAGGTGCCTGAACCGATTCTGGAATGGGACTAATTCCCTCTTCCAGACGTTGTCGTGACTCCAGTATCAAAATCAATCGATAATCACTTTTGTGGTGTGCTTTTAGGTGCATTTTCAAATTTGTACTGAATGGCGATGAAGTGCTGAATGGGCAATTAACACATTTTACCGTCTGAAACAAGCCATATTTTTAAGACGATCTGCAAATTTTTGGAATATTTGGATCGTTCAGATTAATCTAAACATAGATTTAAGCTAGTTAAAAGTTGAAACCTATGTAAACGAAAATTTGGCAACAACTTGAAAAGAACTTCCAACAAAAAGGACTTCCAGAATAATTAGTATATTGCAGCTGGATTATTTGAAATTTTATGAATTACAATGAAAAATGATGAGCTGAAAAAGTTACTTTGCTGCCATCACCAACATCCTTAAAAAACCGCCATACAGGATGTCTTCGCAAGCGCCGCCGCTTTAAAACAATTGCTGATTGGCTACCCACTGGGGGAATAATTTTGTCAGTCCTGCCACTTGCATAAGTTATATTATAAGACGACGGTGAATCTGCAAAACAGCTTCTTCGAATAATCAGTAGCTTCACACGGTAATTAAGCGGAGCCTGTAAAGTCAGGAAGGCTTGTGCCAGCATGAAGAAAGAGAAAATATTATTATTAAACAGCAAAAATACCAAATTTATGATGGTACTTCGTTGGAATAGAACTTAGCGACGATCCCCTCAAAGTTAGAGCTAGCAAGTAAACTAAATTTAGATTTAAATTTAAATTTATATTCAAGCTTCCATCTTTACTAGACTTTTCTCTTGATTAGTTCGAAAAAAACTAACGGAAATTATCCTCACAATATTTCCTGTATTTCCATGTTACATGGGGAGGGTTCTGGATGCTCACACAATGAGAATTAGGCAACAGACTAAGATGAGAGAGAGTAAGAAAGACATGTCCAAATCAATATTTCTTATATCTCCTAACTTACTCTGCGATATTTTGTGGAGTGTTTTCAATCTATCATTGTCACCAGTAAGAAGCGCTTTGGTTTGATTTAATGGTGCGTTTGAGGCAGGTTTTACTGAAGCTTCTGAGATAGCTTTCAGGAAATCCGGCAAATTTCTCGTGAGATCTGGTGTAGTTTTTAGATAATCCATTGGAAGCTGCGGTTCCGAAAATGCTTTCGGGAAGTTCAAAATGCTCCGAGGTGTGGTAGGCAGTGTGCGAGTTCTATTACTTATTGCAGTGATAGCACTGGTAGCGGTATTGGTGGAAGTAACTACCGAACCACTTTGAAAGCCACCGGTCTGATTCAGTATTCCCAATAGCACCGCAGTGCTATTTAAATTAGATCCCGTACTTGAAAGTGTACTATTGTTAACATTACTACTACCAGTATTACTACCACTATTGCTACACCTTCCAATTGCCGGTAAGGCAGTAGTCGTTACGTGATGCATATAGGGTGTTTTTGCTGTTGCTGCTGTTGTTGTCGCACACGTAGCCAAGAGAGAATTTTGGAAAGTAATTTGTTCTTGTTGTTCTTCCTCTGCTTTCAGGACCTGCAATTCCAATTTTCGGACATTGCTTCCAAATAATTGTTGCGAGTCTCGAAAGTTTAATATTACTATATTTTGAATCGTCATGTCCAACTCATTCAATTGTCACATTTTCTCTGATGATCATTAATGTCTTTTCACATTAAGATCACATTCAATCTCTATACATGTGATTTCTGCATCTATTCAAAATCGACAAAGAAATCCATATGCTACTAAGACCCATAGCATACATTTATCAGTACTTTGCAATGTTTTCATCTAGGAGGAACATGACGTTTTCCGATATTTTCTGCAAAGACAAGTTCATTTGATTAAGACAATATAGATCGACTTCCAATGCAATCAAAACTATCTTGAAGTCCAATATTTGGCTTATGCACTCTGACCGGAACTCATCGAACATCAAGTAGCAAACAATTTTCAATTAACGTTATTTTTCTAAACCAAACGATGAGTATGATCTTTCGTCGTCTCCACTACATTCATCCAGTGTTAGCAGAACTGTTCTTTTTTAAAAATTGAATGTCAATAAGAAATTTAAAATCAGAAAAAATATTCCGACCATTTACATCTTAAAAACTAACTTCTTCAAAGAGGTCATGATGGTGTGTCCTTAGGTGTACTTTCAGATTAGTGCTGAACACAGATTTCGTACTGTAGTTACAATGCTTGCATGTTGCCACTCCATCCTTCACAATAAAATACGGCCATACGGGATTTCGCCGTTGGCGTTTCCTTCGTAATGCCGCAGACAATGTCATATCTAAAAACCTTATCATTTCAGCGATAATTATAGAGGCAGAAATACCATTACTGCATTATTATACTATTTATCTGATCATGCCTTTTAAATACTTAACAGTTACAACAAGAATAACCATTTGTTCCAAATAGTCAAAACAGTGAATAAATCCCAAAAACATACCGCTAGAAATGTAACCACCCAGATTCGAAGAAGTTTCAAATGATTCATTGGCATCACAAAAATCGAAATTCTTTGAACCACTGTTATCTGTTCCTTCAAATAACAATGGACTCTACCTCTCAGCATGAAGATTCTCGAATCACTCAAGATGTAAAAGGATTAATGGAATATCGTTAAGGACTTACCAGCTTCTCCAAAAATCCTGTCCAGAAATGCGTCGTTTTTTGATCCTTCATTATCTTCATCATCATCGACATCATTAAAGAGATTGTTTGATGAGGTACTGTATTTCGACTTCGTCATAGCAGCCAAACTTCTTTCTAAAAAAAAAATGCTGTGCTACTGTGCAGGTGTTCCCAGCGCATCCGTTTTTATTTGCCCTTTTGAAGAACATTCAATGGTAATGACTATGAGCACTATTAATTTAATCAAGAGATGGTTGAAAAAAAATTATTAGATTTCAGTAGTGATACCAATCAGGAATAAATTGCCTAGGTGAATTTAGTGTAGTCTCTGACTAAAGCAATAAAGAATTAGATAAATGTTAAATACATAGCAACTGACCATACAAAGTACTCTTTCTCCGATCCTTCATAGGTCATTTATAATCAGAAATAATTAAATTTTCATTACCAACAGCCGTTTGGTTTCCCTCATCGATGCTGTCCCTCGAATAATTTTCAATTTCTAATGGACTTTCTTCGTTGGCAATTCGTAAAGCTGTACGACAGGTAACCTGAGACAGATCCCCTATTCCGCGTACTGTTGACACTGATCCTGTGTCTGAAGGCGCTCTCTTCAAACCTGAAATCATTTTCTTCTCTCTGCATAGGAAATCTTTCAACACAAAAAAATCACCTCGAAATGAATTCAGAAGTGTTTCTCCAGAATGTTTCACGTTTTTTTGCTCAACTCTAGTCCAAAAAATCCCCATATTCTCTTAATATTTCATGAGATATTACAAAAAGACATCCATCTTTCATTTCGAAAAAGAAAATTAAATCCATATCTCTTCATCTCGTAGAATCTTTTTTTTCACAAACACCACGCATCAGTATCAATGCCCAACAGTCTTTCCAGCCTCACATGGCAAACATTCAGCGGGCAACAGTCACACTCTGTTCTGCCACGGGTCTTTGTGGATGGATATCAATTCCATCGTTTTATTAAACTGATCCGTAAAGAAACCCGAACAGGGGGGTAATCAAATTGAATGAAGCGCCAAGTACTGACTGGAACTGAATATAACTGGGGTATTGACTCTTAAATAGACTATAAGTATGCTAACGAGAGTGAGTAGTAGAAGCTGAGAAATTTGCTAGACTTTGTGTCTGCAATTTCTTTTTCAAATTAGCAATGGATGTCTCCAGAATTTTCGCTTCCCGATTTGGTTTGTGCCGTTGGGTAGTAAATACTTGCGTGCGAAATGAATTATTCCCTGAAGTGCTTGCCGTTCCTTCATCGTTTTCCTCCTCGCCAACATCTGCAATATATTTTTCTTTTTATTTCAATTCACCACATTTCTATTTTTGTCAAATATCATCAGACCAACTCAATATGATGTGTAAGAACAGTAGCAAAGTAATATCAAACATATGAAACGATCCGGAAGTTCGAGAAGTGGTGGCTAAGTGGCAAAGTCAGGATGTCGAAGACTTTTGTCTTTTGAAAGAAGTCCAATTAAATTATTTCATTTCAATTTAGTTTATAACTTTGGTTAAGATAATCCTTTAACAAATTTGTTACGGTTTAATGATAATATAAGTTTTTCAGACTTTTTTAAAATTTGTCCTGTTTTGCCATTTGATCTGAGCTGCATTGTTACCCAAGTCCCGTAGTACCGTACATTTTACGGGAAAGGAAGTGAATTGGTGAATGATGCATGAGTGTTAAAGAAGAGACTATGAATATCAGAATCTCACTGTTAGTAGATTCGCTTTCTTCTTTCGCTTCATTGGTACCACCAACACTCGATCCTGAATTAAATGAAAAATTCTAGCTTCTAATTTCTAGAAACCGGAGGTAAAAAAGGAACCAATATGGAAGTAGGTGCAAAAAAGTGGCAAATTTGTAAGACAAATAACCAGTCATCGACAATAATGCATTCTTTTGTCTAGCACTCCCCACTTCAATCTGAACAGATTTGTGTATTATTTTCTCTTCTAAGTTCTAAAGAGAAATTGCCTAAGCAATGTATTCTCAAATTTTCTGAATGATTTCAAGCTCCAAACGTTTCTTTGTCTTTTTCTATTGAATACAGTGATAACAACAACCAAGATTATGTAAAATTAGCAGATGCAAAATATTAAAGACTCTCAAAACAGTTACCGTCGTTATTTTCCACATCCATGTCGCAATCTTCTTCATATTCCAAACCATTAGCTTTCGTGAACTCATCCTTCATCATCGTTTTAGTGGAGATCATGACTAAACTGGCAAAGAAATCCGATTGTTTACCAGTCTCTTCGAGTAAACTGCATAAAGATCAGCAACCAGATACAGAAATTAAGGACTAATTACTTTGATTTTTGAGCATACAATAATTCCCTTACATTGATCCGGAAACTCCTGAAGAATCACATTTCTTATAACCTTACCGCATTATTGGCAAAAACTGCATATTTAATGAAAGCGTATTTTTTATTAACTTCAGTGATCATTACAAACGTGCACTGAAAGATGGTCTGAAGTTAAACTGATAATTGGACAATCACAAACAATATATTGACATAAATACGTGAGAATAAATATCAATGCTCGTAGTGAAAAAAAGCGATCTTTGAATGAAAACAACGTTACTGCTATAATACGGTTTAAGTAAACGTGGACATTAAAATATTATAGCAGTAACGTTGTTTTCCTCCAAAGATCGCTTTTTTGAAAAAATATTTAAGAATATGAAAAACTGTATGGATCAAAATTACTAACGGAAAATTTCTCTCAGGAAAGCCACGCAGAAAGGAAGTTGGATTAATAAGAGAAGGAATACCTTCTCTTATTAATCTTTAAACCGACATTACTGAAATAAATGTTTTGGTATATTAGTTCAAATGTAAAAAGTAAACGCAGTCCCAAGAATTTTAAAAGATTTGTCAATAATTTTTATAAATTTAAGAACAGAAAAGAGTTTATACAAACCGGTATTTTCACCGTCTATTGTGGTACAGTCAATTAGATTGCATCAGTTGAAAAGTTTAACTCCATGGAGATCGGCACAAGCAACCACAATACGGTAAGATTACTGAATTTTATCACACTATAAATTAAGGGAATGATAATTATTCATAAATGAGGCAAACATAGATAAAAGTAAACATTCGAAATAGACGAAAAGACTTTAAGAAATTCAAAATCTTGATGACATAGTTGTGCGTACGTTAGCGTGATGAAAGTGGAACGTATGAATAATCAAATGTTTTAATTTGGCAAATACAGAAACTGTCCAAGTAACGATGATTCGTAAACAGCATCATTATTAGTGAAGTCAGTGTATGTATTCACGTTTTGATACCCTTCTTTGCGATGTCTCCTGATACCAGAGAACATTTGATTATCGGCCTTAAATACATCGTGCATTGAACTGATTCCGATAAAAAACGAACAGCATTTATTGTATAGAAAAGATAAATTTGAAAAATAAAGCAAATAAAAATAAAAACAAAAAGCAAAATGGAAAAGAGTAATGGACTCTTCTGTACCCTGTAAACAAATTCTTTGGTGGCGCCAAAAGTTTACCGGAAATTCCTGTACCTACTCAGACTACCTCGAAATATTCAAATTAAAAGATGACGACGATAGCGATGTTAGCTAGAATAATGTGATCATGGTCTACGCCGTTATTAACGATTTCAATGATGAGAATTTTGAAATGATAATGATGATAGCTGCCTTATGATTATCGCCGTGATATCGTCACAGTGATAATTACTGTGAAATGCATTGTTAGGTTGCAGAGACCATTAAAACTTAGCATGTGCAACCATATAGTGCTTAAGAGCATCTCGATATTGGTTTCATTGATCGAGCAGCTCTTTTCAGTCTAATCAGTCTATTGATGAAAAGTAAACTGAGAGTGAGCGTCCGTGCCATTATAAATACCGTCATTGCTTACTGCTAGCAAATTTTCATACACAACCTATAAGCCTTTACCTTTAATATCATCACCATTTCACAAACAAAATGCCATTTTTAACATTTCTCACTGAGTGTTATTAGTTAGCAACGAGTACTGTTGCAGTTGTGATAGTAGCACCAACAGTACAAGACCCATACCGTACTGTGACACAGTGTTATTATTTAGTAGCGAATAAAGTGAAAGTACAAAATAAGCAGAAGTAGCAATTTATTTTAACCAAGCATCCTGCTATTAATTAGTAGTTCCAACCACTAATCACTGACGAGGATATCTTTTGTAATGCATACAAGTAGGGAAAGGGAAAACACTGAAAAACAGAATTATGGAATATCTTACTTTACTTGCAAAATTTCAAATTCTACCTTATCATTCCTAATAGTTGTCTAGTTATTCTTTGTGCTTATAGCGCAACAAATGACTAAAGATCATCTGAATGTCCGCTAGAATCTAAGTTTCCTTGCGTCATAGGCATATCGATTTTTCCCTTATTATATGTATATTTTGCAGCGAACAAAAACACGGATGAATGGAATTTATGAATGATTAGCATGGCATGACGTGAACTAAACTCAAGCGGAAACGTAAACTAACCACGTCTACTGCATTTATTAAACCTGCATTGTGGAACATCTTTCAGATATCAATGTGACAATACCAAATACACCTAGGACTGCATCAAAAATGTTAAATGTTACAAATGTTACTTTATATTTGTTCATTCCCGACATTCATCCCTCCGATAATAAGCCAATTATCACTCACTGGTGAGCATATTTAGTGGCCGTGTGGGATATCTTAACATCCTATGGCGGTGAGCTGTAACTGATAAAAAAGATAAGAAGCTGGCCTACTAGCAGAAGGAAATATTACTTCAAGCCTCTGCACTTTATTTCAACACATGCTCATGAATGCACTTCAGCTTTTGAGTACAAACAGAAAATGACAGAAAGGTTACATCACCGGAAATTAAACATTCTGGAAGAATTTTACAAAGTGCATGTCTGCCTCCAATCCGACAAGAGGAAGAATTTCCACGAAACCTAATTATCTTTCTTTCAGTGCCCATGGGCGTTACAGCCGCCATAAAAGCGCTACATGCAATATCAGTTCAACAACTGTCTTAAAGCTGTTTGCTTCTGAATTTTTTTCCTCTGTAATCTTTCCTCATGTCGCTTAGAATCCATTTCTCTCCAAAACCAATCTTACTGTAAACCTAACCTCCTTCTTTGTTTTCTGCAATAATTAACCTACCCAATGTCATCGGATCTATCTAGACTAGTACAGAACCATCATGCTCCAAATGAACAAACGTGAGATACTTTTCGTCAATTGGAAATCCCTTGCAACGGTGTCCACTCAAGAGCCATATGAGTAGTAGAATATTATCACTATTCATATTTTCCAAGAACACGAACAGGATACGAATTCAAGGTGGTGTACGTATTTGTCCATGCAACATTCATCTTCATTAAACAACCAGTGTTAAAGTATGATCCACAACTGATTTCAAAAACTTCAAATTTTACACTTTTGAGATTGTAATGTGAGACTCATTCCTTTAAAAGCAATTCTAACCGACTCAATTGAAGTCAGCGACCCTTTACCAAGGTCGATGCTTGGAATTCAATTTCCCCGTCACAGATTTTGTCCACAACAAGTTAACAGTTGACAGTAGTTTTTGCCAAAAGTAAATTATATATATATATTGATAACAGATTAATATTTCGATAACAGTAGTATATTGAATGGGTTTCGAAGTAAAGATAACTACCAAAGGTAATTTTGGAAAATTTTATCCAAAGTTACGGTAATTTTGGATAAAATTGAGCTGTTAGATGTAACTGGCAGATGGTTTTAACTGTCAGTGATAGGAGCTAATACTGTAGTGTGGTAAGCGAATGTCACGGGTCTGTTGGGATGATTGTTTTATAAGAGCCTTTTGGGAAAAGCCAAGAATGAGAGGTGAAAAAAGTATGGAATAGAGGTGCGGCAAATAGAAAAAATTATTTAGGCCAAGCACGAAGATTGAGGACTGAGGAGAAGAGAGTAGAAGGATAGAGACCCCGTACCGTGTACTCCGCACCTTGTGCCTTGTGCCCCGTGCTCAGGCCAACACCTCATCAAAGGAGGGCTGCTAACACCCATTCACACACACATGCATATATACACACACAGACACACAGACATACACAAGCATAGGCACAAAATACCTACTTAACATTGGGCGCATTGAATGTGACTAACTGCCAGGCCTATTCTGGTATAGGTACTTGGTATAACTAATATTAATAGTATCGGTAAGGTGGATGATAGTAATGGGAGAAGTATGCGAAGGGACGATAACAGTAAAAATCAAGGTCAATAAGAAGGAACAGGAGCGAGCTGCTGCTACTGCTACTGCTGCTGCTAGGGAGTGGTAGTGGTAGTAGTATCATCAATGGCACCGAGTACCAAATGTGAATCGTCTGTAGCATGGAGTCGAAGACAAGGTCAGTGGCGCCTCACTCTCACTGGCCTTCACTTTTATATTGGCTTCACTCCACTATTGACACAGCTCGGGTGGGTACTCTTGCGCCAGGGGTACTTGTAGCATCAGCATCAGCAGCAGCGGCAGCAGGAGCAAAACCACTAGTAGGACATTAAGTAAAGGCAGAAGGGATAGCGTGCATAGTTAGATGGCATGGTATGTTAAACACTTTATGCTATCAGCGCAGAGCACTTCTTTGTCCTAGCTTATCATTCTTCAAGCATTATGAAACGTGCATGTACTTTCTCCTATCTGTCTCTCCTTAATCGGATGAGTTAAGTCCAAGATACTATCGTCATGTAAGTATGGTTTTGCATGAGCAATAAGTGACAGTATCGTATACCGCTTTTTTTATAAATCATTGCTCCCTAACAAAAGGTTTCCCATCTTCCGTTATTTCCAAACAGGAAAGAAAAGATTGAAACTTACTTTAAAGCCGATATGTTCTTCCACATTTGCTCAGTTCACTGGTTGATATGTGGCAATAGTTAGCACTGATCCTTTGACAGTGCGCTCATCCTTTCGTCATCCACGAACACGAATTACGTATTGGGAAGGTACGGTTAGTAACCATTCTCCTCCTCAGGTAACAGTTAACGTTTTTCTATCTTGTATGGTTGGTTTAGAAGGAAACATTTAAATTTAAAGCTTTTTCTTTGAGACACTAAATCCAGAAATCAGAAAAAAAAACTTTGCAAGAAACAATTTGTAAATAATAATTGATATTCCTATTTTATCATCTTTATTTTGTGAACTAACACTCAGAAGGATTTTTGAGAATGTTACGTAAGGTAACTGGGACAGACAGCACTTAATTTATTTTCAAAGGATTTCAATCCTCATTGCTTCAATTTGAATTGATTATGTTCGTGATGATTTGATGAATAATTTTAACTTTTCATTCAATCATGCTCGATCAAGAACAGAATGCTCAATTTTTTTCTCTTCTCTTCTTTCCAAACAGAGATGACCCTTCCTTTTCCTTCTTTCCTCCTATCCTATTAGAAGCAATTAATGAAGTGCTAATTTCGTTATATTTTCATCAACTTTCTGCACCTATCTTCATCCCGTTATTTCAGGACGCGATATTTTCTTGACATTGTTGAAATTTTTGTCTGCTTTTGTCGTTATTCCTGTTTATTTACAGTTTCCTCGTCCTGCTACAAAATGAGCCCTTTCTCATCGTCAGCTGATTCTATATATTACAAAGTTGTTGCCTGTAACATTCCGAAGATCTCAAACTCTTTGAACAGTTTCACTTGATCATCGATGAATTTCTTGTTAAAACACTGAATCAATGACCATTTTATCATTGTTTTCCCTTAAAATTCCACCAGAAATGTTGGTGAAGGACATATTTTCTTGGTAAATAATCGCATAAAAGTGATAAAATTCTTTAACTGCTGGATTCAGCGCTCTGAGGCAAGAGGAATTTTTGAATAAATGATATGATAAATTAGCACGCATGACTAAGAAGGAGGAATAGTCATTAGGAGGATGATGAATGGCTCCATCTTTGAATTTAAAAGTTTGCCGAAAGATAGCCGAAGATGAAAAAAGGTAGAAGGGGTCATTCAGTTCTACAATTTAGCATAAGTAGTAAAGAAAGTTTCAAGTCTATTCCTTTCTTTCATAGCTTTTGTGTTATTATGCTTTATTTCTTACTACTCCAAAACCTTTTTTGATTTTTTTTCTAAACCAGATTTTCTCAGAATATCAAAAATCATTTGTCGCCAATGCCCAGTGCAACATCTCACCTTCCGCCAGCTTTTAGAAATTTTTACAGAAGAAATGAGATTTTAAAATTTGCAAGACGTTTATCAAATCGTCATCAAAAATTACTCAGAAGTTAACAGAGGCAATATTTCATTGCTTAGAATCATCCCAATGTACAATATGTTGAAAGAACAAAGACGGCGTTATTCTATTTTTGCGCAATTTATTCAAGGAGTTTGTGTGAGCACTGTATGATAAATACAGGTTTTTTTCCACAATCTATCATTTAATACAAGCATGACTCAACTGGTAAAATATGATAATTCCACTGGTTCTCAGCAGGGCATCCTGTCACAGGCATTTCGTGAAGGAACATTTCGACCAGAAGCTCTCAAAGGAATGAAATGATCTTATGAATCCATATAAGGTCAAAAATTAGAAGCGAAATTAGCACTGCGCTCCGATAGACGCTAATCTTCCCGAGGCGAATCAGAATGCATTGTAATTGACGTCGATGTACTATTTCTGATTTTTTAATTGTTTTACATTATCTGATAGGAATCATATCATCTTGAAAATATGAAAATTTGTGCTTCGGATAAATAGCATAAAGAAAATTTGTTTTTGTTGTGAAAACACTTTTGTACCAGAAATAATTATTTGTGGTAATTGATTTGGGATGAGGATGGGAAGATCTGCTTGAAATAATAGGAATGTGAATGATTATGTAAATCGAGCTCTTTTTCTTTTCTTGAGAAAGCGAATTTGAATTTTCAAAAGAATACTTTTGAAAATTCAAATTCGCTTTTTCTAGTCTACACTGCTGATTTTCCGGTAGAAATACCTAGTTCACAAAGTTTCAAATCTTGAACCTTTCCTCCAGTAGACGTTATCGACGTTATGGATGAATTTCATTTCTCTACAGATGTCTTCTGCAAGGTGATAGGCAGAAATGGAAAAAATGATGTCACTATGTCTTCAACGAATGAATTTCATTGCTCTTGAATAATTGAAATTTTGGCTTGAAGAAGGATCTGTAATATCGGAAAGTTTGTAGAAAGAAGTCAGAGCAAACTCTTTTGAGATCATGATTTGTTTCGATGCTGATTTCTCTTAATTACCCTTATCTATAATTAGTACACCGTGCAACTGGCTTCTGTCAAACCATCTAATAAAGATAGATAGGTCTTGAAGTAATAAAGAATTAGATGCTGTCTTTGAAGAAAAGATGAATAACCTTAGTCTTAGTCTCCATAGCACTACTTCAAACTTTTGACAGTTGAAGAAACCCTTCCAGCAGATCGGGATCACCAACAAAGAGCCTTAGAGAGGCGACAAAGTTTTATTTGTATGATAAATTTTACTACAACAACAAACTGTCGGGCGAAAGTGCGTCATTAGCATTCATTAACCTAGCAACTCTTATGTTGGTAAGATTAACTTATTCAACAACTTCGATTAACAGTGCTAGTGGAAAGAAAGAAAAGAATTTGGAATCACTTCTGTCCAGGTGTCATTCCTATAAGAGTACGCTCTTATCTTTTGGCATTCTTAAATTCTTTGTTTGATCAGTGTAGTCTGTGTGCATCATTCAGCTGACCAATTACAACAACTAATCGTAAGATAACTGATTGGACATCTTGAAGTCTACGATATACATATAATACTACGGCTTTTAGTATATTATAACCCACAACTGAATTGGACTGGAATTTTGATTCTTCAGATTTTTAATCCTTGTATTAAAATCAGTGAAGTCATTGAAGTCCATATACAGATGATGATAATAACTGTCCTTTCTGCTAACATCAACATTACTAGTACCACCATTATGAATACATTTGCTATTCGATAGTATCGTACATCGTTATTGTTCCTGAAAACTCATCAAATCCCGCCTCTAAAATTTTGCAACGTTCCCACTTGGAATTTAACGATCGGTGAGGTATTTTTTGACTACACTGGAAAAAAAGAGAAGTGAAAAAGTCCTAACAAGAAAGAATAAAAACCAAGGGAGAGAAAGGCGATATTACTGATGCCTTTTGTTCGCATAATCAAACGGGTGGATGAAATCGGGATTCCGGGAACTTGGTATTACTGTTACTACTGCAATGAATTATTACTCTTCTTATCATTCAATATTTCATCTCCTCTCGCACACATACCTTGTCTTCCATTAGTAACCACATAGCAAAACTGACAAGTTCAACATCTCTCACAAACGACATGCTTCCTTTCACACCCGTTGCTGAATTTAAGAGCAAATCTTTCGCATCAAAACTTCAAGTGTTAACAATTCTTCCGATTCTTCCGCTTAAATCTTTTGTTTCAGTTTGGGCGGAGACATCAGTAAATTGCCTAAAGACATTTAAGAAATTTCTTATATCAGTTGCACTGCAAAGGAATGATACTGGTAATTTGACAAGTCATATTGATAAGTAAACTTATCAATAAGGAACGACAAGTAAAAGCATGGATTCATTGATACAGGAGATAATAAGAATGAATTAACATAAAAAAAGAAGAAAGAGATTCAAATGACAGTTTATTGCTACTAATTAAACTAAATATTTCAAACTATCGGAGAACAGTATTTGGAGCAGAAGTGACGATAAAGAGTGCAGAGAAATGCAGAAATGTACGACACGCCAGATGACAACGTTAGGAAGTTTTGAAGAACATGCAATAGCAGCCAGGCATCACTATCTTATGAACAGTGCATGACAGCTTGATTTCATAACTAAGTCTGGTCTTTTGCCAGATCAAATGGCACAGTTCATGTAGTAACATATAAACTAAATATAAAATATTGGGGCAATAGAGAGGAGCTAGAGAGATATGCAGAACTGAAGAGATGCAATTATACTGCAAAATGACAATTGCTTAGGAATTTTAATTGTAGGTGCTAGTGTTGGTTGACATAGGGAATGGAAACGAAAACGATGAAATGTGTAAAGATGATATCAACAACTACAAAGAAATCGGTTAAATTCGATACGTTATCAGTTATGGCAGGACAGAACGGGTCACAAAAGAGAGAGAGAGGAGAAATGTTGAGCAATTTAAATTTTGCTTCGGTAATGAGTGAACAATCAATCCCTCAGTTAAAAGTCAGAATTCTGAGAATTTCTTATACGAACTGCAAAAAAAATGAATAAAGTATGGATAATATAGACTCGTGATAAATACGTTGCATAAAGTGTGGCAAATGTAAAATGTTTATGTACAAACCTAAAATGTAACTAGTAGCATAAATGAAAGGCAATCATTCCCTACTTTCCCATACTTCATCCTTGTCATTTGACCTATAATTCATGTGTTATGGTAAACTTTATGATTCATTTATACAAGTTGCGTTTTTGAAGACATTTTCATAGAGCACTGCGAGATATTTAGAAGA